AGTAACTATAATATTAACTGAGGACTCCAACATTCCATGACATAAAAATATAATAAATGTAGCAAAAAGATGCGCAGAAATGAATGGCTTATTTAACAAGCTAGAATGAACATATTTGAAGAAAAGTAAATGGAAGAAGGAAAGACTTTTTCCCCCAAAAAGCAGATGGATCAATTCCTCCAGATTCAATGTGATTCTACAAATGTTCAGTACTTTATAAGAATACTTATAAAACATACTCATGAAGTGCTTTCAGATTATAAAGTGCTTTCCTCACAATATCGTCGTGCATTGTAAAAAGTGATGGATTTGGTATCAGAAGACTTGGGTTGAAATCTTAGCACTGTCACTGCCTCTGTGATGTGCGCAAATCATTTGGCTTTTCTGGAGTTTGGTTTCCTGCCAAATGAGGAGGTTGGATCAGATGACCTCAATTCCCTTGTGGCTCTAAACCTTTGATCCTACAATCCTATAAATCCTGGGAGATTGGTATGCAAGTATCACCATCTCTATTTTATTGATAATGAGAGGCATTCTTCTTTTACATCCATTGGATACTTACACTTTCCACTTAGTGCCCTGGGGATGATTTATTTAAAGCTTAGAATTTGGCTACTGTCTTGAGTTTCCCTAAATGAAGGAGTAGAATGGCATGGATGTTCAATATGAATCAGGTATGGGGCAGGTATTTATTTTTTTACACACAAAAGAAACTAAACACAAAACACTCATAAACATGCATTGGCAGAAAGAACAGATTTCAGTAACTTAATTTATAACTATTAGACTTTCTTGTGTGAGACTTCTGTGAATCACATTGGCTGACCCATTATACAGATAAATCTTGCATATTATCTGAATTTACGTGTCTGCTGCTGGTGCAATGAAGGTCAACAAATACTAGGGCCCCTCAGTATTCACTGGGTAAAGTCCCCCCCCCTTTTTTTTTTTTTAACATTTTTTGGCTTTTTGGTGAGGCAATCGGGGGTTAAGTGACTTGCCCAGGGTCACACAGCTAATAAGTGTCAAGTATCTGAGGCCAGATTTGAACTCAGGTCCTCCTGACTCCAAGGCCAGAGCTCTATCCACTGCACCACCTAGCTGCCCCTGAAGTTCCCTTTTTGATAAGAAAAATCTAAATACTGTACCCCGTCTTGAAGTGATTGCAAGGCACAGACTGTATGTAAAACCAGGCAGAAGGAATTTCCTTTTCAACTGATATTTATATAGCTGAGAGATCTGCCTCTCTGAAGTCTGGGAGGGAATGAATGACTTGATGGTGCTACAATTAATAGAGAAATCCAGAGAAGGGAAGAGAAGGAGCTTAACACACAACACACAAGCAGTTGCAATGAGGGCTTCATGAATGTTACTTCTCACAAATGGAGGGAAACAAGGTTTTTTCACTGGCCAAAATACATCATCCAAGGTAGGGGATCCCACATTTTACTGGAAGCCTTCTCTAAACCCTCTTAATTCTAGTCTCTTCGCTCTGTTATTTCCTATTTATCCTGTTTATAGCTTGCTTTGCACATAGTTGTCTGTATGTTGTATCCCCCATTAGATTGTAAGCTCTTTGACAGCAGGGACTATCTATCTTTTGCCTCTTTTTGTATCTCCAGTGCTTACTGAAGTACTTGGCACTTGGTAAGAACTTAATAAATCTTGATGATTCGCTGACTTATATTTCCTTACACCAGCACCACACACATAAATTCAGACAAAAACAACAACAACAAAAAACTAGTCTATTTGCTGAATCTAAAACAGTGGAAAGAGAACTAGCTTTAGGGCTGGAATATCTGGGTTCAAATCTCACCTCTGATGCATACTACCTACCTCAGTTTCCTCTTCCTAAAATGAGAGAGATTGAATTAAATGACCTCTGAGGTCTCTTCCATCATTCAGTTGAAACTGCTCTCCAAAGTTACCAATGATTTCTTAATTGCTGATTCTATGGATCTTTTCTCAGTCCTCCTTGACCCCTCTGCAGCATTTGCTCCTGTTGACCACTCTTTTCTACTGGGTACACTCTCCAGTACAGGTTTTCACGGCACTAGTTTCCGTTGTTGTTTCTCCTACCAGTCTTCTTTGCTGTTGTTTTTTTCATCTAAGTCACGCCTACTAATTGTAAGCGTACCTTAAGGCCCGTCCTGAGCCTTCTTCTCTTTTCTCTCCGTATTATCTCACTTGGTGATCTCATCAGCTCCCAAGGCTTCAATGATCATTTCTTTGCAGCTCACTCACACAGATCTATTATTTTAGTTTCTCTCCTGAGTGCCAGTAATGGAATATAATTGCATTACATTTCTATTTCACAATTTGTTTAGCCAAATTTGTTAGCCACTCTCCCCTGAGGTTTTGGCTACCGTGAAAAGAACTGCTACACATATTTTGTATGTGTAGATTCTTTTCCTCTTTCGTTGTGGGGGAGGCAGTCATGGGCCTAATTGGTTTCCCCTATTTCAAGGTCTCTCTCACCCTCCAGTTCATTCCTCAGAGTTTGTAAAATGATTTTCCTAAAGTATAGGTTTGATCAAGTCGCCCCCTGCTCAATGAATCCCAGAGGTTTCCTTTTACCTCTCTGATCAAATATAAGCCCCTCTCTTAGGCATGTGAAGTTCTTCATCACCTAGTTTCTTTCTACCTTTCCAGTATTCTTATACTTTATTCCTTTCCAAGCACTGTACAGTCTACTGTACAGACCTATTTGCTATTCCTTACACACAATGAATGATTCATTTCTGATCTCTGTACCTTTGGGCACCTCTGTGCTAACACCCGAAATACTCTCCTTGGTCACTCTGTCTCTTAGCATTACTGTTTTCCATTAAGACTCAGCTCAAATACAACCTTCTATAGAAGGTTTTCCCATCTCCCTCCATCCCTCCAGCTGCTCGTGTTTTCCTGTCTAAGGTTATACTCTCTATGTATCCTGTATTTGTGTTCACATTGTCTCCCCTATAGAATGCAAACTCCTTGAAGGCAGGGACTGTTTTAGCATTTTCTCTGTATCCCCTGCACTCTGCACAGTGCCTGACACACAGTAAATCCTATGTGTTTATTGCTAGATTGTGGGTTTACCAACCATTCTATGAACTATAATTCTCACACAGAGAACCTTGGTGAAACCACATATAAACCCATTTTCACTGGTTTCATAAGAAGCAGATGACTAACGAGGGAAGGGAAAGGAAATAGAAGATCTTATAAAATCTGAAGTAAAAGTTCTTCAATCCTGGGCTGAGGCCTGTCTTTAGAAGGCCCCTGTCAAAATGTACATTAAATTTAACAAGCAATGATTAAGTGCACCTTGTTAGATGCTAGGAGGTAAGATGAGCATTAGTAGTTAATAAGTGAAGTAATTTGGCACATAACTAGAGAAACCAGGTAAACCCTTCTCTTCCTACCGCCTCCAAGCAAGGTGTGACTCTTAAAGACAAGGTGTAAATTACCTTTGGAGTGGTCATCATCCTTTGTTGTGATACTGACTGAAATAGGAGTAAATAAAAATGAGAACACACCCCTGGAATGAGAGTTCACATACCTGAGCTGTCTGGAAAAGTTCAGACACTTTGAGACCCAGACACAGGCGAGAAGCACCAAAAGGTAAGCAGAATTATCCCAGCAGGGACCCATTTGCTCACCGAAGCAATCTGCATCTATTTCTTCTCTAGAATTGTGAATCACTTGGAATAGTATAGGTCCTAAGGGAAGGTGGGACACAAAGGAAGTGGTCTGCTTGATTTGGAGAGGGGGTCGGGAATGAGGATACATTGAAGGAGCCAGAGAATTTGAACCGGGACAGAACAGAAGATCCCCCAAATTTCAAGGGGGTAGCAGAAGTTGAGGGAAGAGTGAAAGGAGGGGCGTTCCCTTGGGTAAGAGGTAGAGGAAGTAGATTGCAGGGAGTGGGAAGAAGAGCAGAGGATTAGGTGAAGGGCATTATGGTGCAGTGAGGCCTGAATTTGGGACTCAAGACCAAATTCTGCAGCTCCCTAGTCCTGTGACCCCAGGTCGTCCTTTCACTTATTTGGGTCTTGTTTCCCTCTGTATATTTAGGGGGTTTCTTTCTAGAATATAAGCTCTGTGAGGACAGAGACTTTTATTTCATCTTTGGAGCACTGGTGGGTACTTCATAAATGCTTGTGGAAGCGGGGCAGGTGACACTGCTGGCCAGCTGGGAGGGGTGTCTTTCCAGAAGGTAGCAAGGAGGGCTGGGGTGGGGGTGGGGCAGGTGATGCTGCAGCGCAACGTGGGGAGGGAGGCAGCAGACAGGTCTGGAGACAGGCTGGCGAAAGACTCCACGCTCGAGACGCCCTTCCCGTGAAGGAATGCCCTGGACAGATCCGTCAGCCCACGGCTCCTTCAGCTGCCATCCCGGGTCTTCCTCCCTCTGTACTCCATTCTCCCCGAGTCATCCAATCATCGGGCGAGACTCCCCCGACTCCTCGTGGGTCCCGCCCCTCCGCGTTGAATCAGGGGCAGGCCTGAGGGCCGAGTAGGTTTGTTCTCTGGGGCCGGCGCTGCAGACCCTGAAAAAGCAGGGGGAACGCGGGGGGAAGGAAGGTACGGGAGGGAGGGGGGGCGAGGGAGGTGGGCGAGGAAAGGGGGAGGGAGGAGGAGGATGCAGGAGGAGAGGGAGGAAGGCGCAGAGGAGCAGGAGGACGGCCACGGGTAGCTTGCGCTCCGAGCACGGCCTTGGGGGGCGTGGATGCAGAGGCTCGACCTGGCCATGCGCGGCCTCGGCCACGCTGGGCGGCGAGGGGCGCGCGGGCTCGGGCGCGCGGGGCCCTGACGGGAGCGTGGGAGGCGGGGTCCCCGAGTGAGCCTGGGCGGCTCCCTCCCGCGGGGCAGCCCTTGCTGGGAAGTCCCCGGTCCCTCTCCGGGCCGCAGGGCTCGCGGCTGCTGAGTCAGGCTCGGCCGCGCTCCCGGCCAGCTCCCGCAGGCCGGGCCCCGGCCGCGCTTGCTCGGGTTCCTGGGGCCTGGGCCGGGCATAACCTGTGGGTCCCGCGTTAAACTTGCAGGTGCCCATGGCGTCCGACCGGCTGCTCAAGGTCAAGTACCAATGGGGCAGCGGCTGCGATGGCTTCCCCAACAAGCGTAGCTGCACGGAGCCCGAGGCCGAGCCCGAGCCCGCGGCTGCAGCCGCCGCTTCCTCCTCCTCCTCTTGCTCCTCCTCTTCCAGGGCTTCCCCGGCCTCTGTGGATGCCAAACCTCCCCCTCCTCCCGGCTCCAGCCGGCCAGGCAAGGGCAAGCCTACCTATGGGAGAGGGCCCCGCAGGCCTCCGGACGCGGAGGCCCATGGCAAGGAAGAGGTGACCCCCAAATACCACCTGGCTGGAAGTGTTCCGGCCCTCCTCGCCAACCCCACTGTTCTGATTCCTCAGGTGCGGGTGGGGCTAGCAGCCGCACCCTGCTAATCAAGAGGACAGGAGGCCTTATCTCTCCCATAGAAAGCCCTTCCCTATCTGGCAGCCCCTCCGCCAAAGAAATGTGCACCTTACGGGATGAAGCCTCCCACCGGAAGGTAGGTGACCAAAGAGAGGGGGGTCCCCGACACGTTCAATGAGCAAGAAGAAGGTTGAAAAGGGCCACACCTGGAGGCCCTTGGAGCCTCTCAGAGACTGGGTTCTAATTTCCTAGGGCCTTTAGAAGGAAGAAATGAAGAAAGAAAAAGTATTCATTTTATAGACCTTATCTGACACAGGTTAAGTGACTTGCCCAGGGTCACAGAGCTAGAAAGTACCTGATGCTGGGTTTGAACTCGGGTATTGCTGGCTCCAGGCCCAGCTGCTCTGTCCACTGGACCACTTAAGTTGAGCTTTCCCTTGAGAAAGGCCGGTACAGACTGGATACAGGGCTTGTTTGGGATCAGCTGGGCTGGAGAGGTGGGGAGGGGGGAGCATCAGCTCTTTATTTGTAAGTTATTGTTTGTTAGCATTTTGCTTTCTTAACTTTCTTGTGTTGTGAGGCATCTAGTTGCAGTAGATGGAGTGCTAAACCTAGAATCAGGAAACTATGAGTTCCAGTCTGGCCTCAGACAGTAGATGTGACCCTGGGCAAGTCTTTTAACTGCTGTCTGCCTCAGTTTTCTCATCTGTAAAATAGGAATAATAGTAATAGCACCAACCTCCCAGGGTTCTTGTGAGGATAAAATGAGGTAGTATTTGTAAAGTGTTTTACAAACCTTAAAATGCTTTATAAGTACTAGCTATTATTATATAAAATCTACACTGGACTGTTTACTCTGGGACCTCATAGTGTAGAGGTGTAACCTTCTGATCTGGATGGGACTGAACATGAGTAACACTACCACCTTGATTTTACTGCCTACCTCACTAGGTTGTTATCAAGTTTAAGCTTAATAGTTTTGGCCAGAGGCCCTCAGGCCTCATGCAGCAGCCCTCTACTCTCTGAAGTGTGGCCTGAACTAGAATAAAATATAATTAGGAAATATTTAACAAAATAAAAATACAATGAAACATAAATAATGTTATATTAAAAACTAAGTCATAATGCTGTCAGCATGGATCCTAGTTAAGTTTGACATCACTGATTTAGACTATTAGGGCCTTCCCTCTCTCTGATACTGGAAAGAGTAGAGGGTGGATTTAATAGGGATTGTTTCTCTTTTTTGTTAATGCAGATAATACAAATCTTTGGCATGGGTCCTCGGGGGTGCTTAATCCCTGTTCATTCCTTCCACCTCCATCTCCATTTGGTGTGGCCTGAACTACTCATTTTAAAATGATTGGGAACTGAAGAACTTGGTTAACCACATCCCATGTGCTGATCCCTTTCCTATCACAGCACCCTAACTGTGTGGCCACACTCCAGGATAGCCTTTGCCATAAAAAGTGGGAACAAGCAGGGAATCCAGAGAATACACCAACTGACCTTCCATTAATGAAAGGCCAGGTTGGAAAATTCTTTGGCTGGCTGACGAGGAGTTACTTCTGTGAGCCAACGCTGTCCCTCTGTCATCACTCCCACCGTCTGATCAGTCTTAGGTGATCAAAGTGATACAGAGAAAGTGGTTTCCTGCACTCTCAGGTACCAGCAAGAGACACTTGGAGCCGTAATGGTCCTTCAGAGACTCTTTTTGTGAAGTATCTCCAGGCACCCTCTTCTTCCTTTGCCCCGTTCAGCATCTTCTTGGTGCTCTCTTACCCTTTTAGATTGTTGTTCGTCCTTCATTCTCAGAGAGATCCAATGACGTCATGAGAGTGCTATCTTGACTCTTTTAGAGAGTGAGCTCCTTGATGTCAGGGACTGTCTTTTGCCTTTCTTTGTATATCTTAGCATATAGTAGGGGCAGCTAGGTGGCTTACTGGATAGACTACTGGGCCTGGAGTCAGGAAGACCTGAATTCAAATTTAGCCTCAGACATGCACTAGCTATGTGACCTGGGTAAGTCACTTAACCCTGTTTGACTCAATTTCCTCATCTGTCCAATGAGCTGGAGAAGGAAATAGCAAATCTCTCCAGTATCCTTGTCAGGAAAACCCCCAGTTGGGGTCATGAAGAGTTGGGCATGACTGAACAACAACAAAAGGTCCTTAATAAGTGTTTATTGACTGATGACCAGTTGTCGTAGATATTGCAGAATTAAGTCAGGTATGTGTTGAATTAGGTGTTTTCTTTTTTTTTCTTTTTTGGCAGTTGGGGTTAAGTGACTTGCCCAGGGTTACACAGTTGGTAAGTGTCAAATGTTTGGTGTGAGGCTGGATATGAACTCAGGTCCTCCTGACTCCAGGCCCAACGCTCTATCTACTGCCCACCTGAGTTTTATTGTCCTTGATTTCTCAGTTGACCCTTGGATACTTGCATTTATCTTCAGGACTAAATAATTAATTTTATATGATGCTTGTAAAGAAAGCATTTTATGAATCTTTTTAAAAAATAAGTTTTATTGATATCTTTTTTTAGCATCATCATAATTTCCTCCAATATCCATTATCCTCCCAGACAGTCATTTCATACAAGTAATATTTTTTAAAGACAAAAAAAGAGGAAAAAATCAGCATAACTGATAACAGCATACCTCTGAAAAAATATACAATTTCTACATTCACACATTGTTCTCTTGCCTTTGCAGACAGATAGGTGGACGTTTTCTCATTTCTCTTCTTTGCAGCCATGCTTATTCTTTGAATTTTGCAGCATTCACTTTGAATTGTTTTGTAGCTGTTCTTTCCATTTACATTGTTGTAGTCATTGTGTATGTTGTTTTCTTCACTGCCCTCCTTCACTCTGTATCAGTTCATTTAGATTCTTCTCATTCTTCTCTGTATTCAGTATGTTTGTCATTCCTTACAGTACAGTAATGATCAATTACATCCATGTACAATAGTTTGCTTAACCATTTCCCCAATTAGTAGGTATCTACTTTGTTTACAATTATTTGCTGCCACAAAAAGTGTTGCTATAAATATTTTGATGTAATATGAGGACTTTATTCTTATCAAATGGCCTCTTTGGTGTAGAAGAATCTCTTGGTCAAAAGGGTATGGGCAATTTAGTCACCTAATTGCATATTTCCAAATTGCTTTCCAAGGATTTTATGAATCTTAACCTAGTGAGGTAGGTAGTATTATTATTCCAATTTTACAGATGAGGAAACTGAGTCACAGAGCAGTGAAGTGACTTGCTGAGAGTTATACAGCTAGGTCAGTAGCAGTCAGAGCTGGAATTTACATCTCCGTGTGGATGACATTTTACATCTTCCAATCTACTTCCTCTCCTAAATTGTCTAAGCCTGTTAATGGCATCACCATCCTCTCATTTCTAGGCTTTAAACTTTGAAATGATTTTTGCTTTCTCCTTTTCCCCAATGTCATTAAAACATGGCTTCTTGCTTTGTGTCTTCCCAGGAAGTACTTGTACTTTAAGATAAATTTTTCCAACCAAAAGATTCTTTTAACTGGTGCAAATGTGTAATGTGTGGAGCAGGGAAGGTCTTTAATTTGCCAGTTGGCTCTTCTGGCCCTCTTTTCTCTCTTCCCCTAGCACACACCAAAAAGAACAGGAATCCAAAATTTGGCAACCCACTTCTTAGCTTAGTTGTCTCTTCCCTCTCCCTTCCACTCCTTTTTTTCTTTCCCCAATCCACCCCCAAAGTTACATGTCTGTGTTATTCAAATAGTAATCTAATTGGTCCTCCACCTCTGATGCACTCCATATGTTATCATTAGGTTTTTCAAGAGCAATTATTTTATCTTTTTATAGCTCAAAATCTTTATTAGCTCCCTATGGCTGCACAGCACTTAAATCTAATTCTCAGGCAAATCAAGACATCACCCTCATGATGTCATTGGGCTTCTTCCCGAATGAAGGATGAACAACAACAATTGTTGGTTGCTTATATTTTGTAAGACGTTTTGGTGTTTGGGACCTAGATTAAAAGAAATTAAAATTCTGTGTCCCAAAGAGATCATAAAAATGGGAAAAGGATCCACATGTACAAAAATCTTTATAGCAGCTCTTTGTGGTAGCAAAGAATTGGAAATTGAGGGGATGCCTGAACAAGTTGTAGTATATGAATGTAATGGAATACTATTGTACTGTAAGAAATGATGAATAGGCAGACTTCAGAAAAACCTGGAAAGGCATGTATGGACTGATGCTGAGTGAAGTGAGCAAAATCAGGAGAATGTTGTACACAATAACAGCCACATTGTGTGATGACTGACTTTGATAGACTTAGCCCTTCTTGGCAATGCTATGATCTAAGACAATTCCAAAATACTAAAGATGGAAAATGCTGTCCACCTCCAGAAAAAGAACTAGAGTCTGAATGCAGATCAAAGCATACTATTTTCTCTCTTTTGTTGTTTTTTTTCTCGTGGTTTTTCCCTGTAGTTCTGATTCTTCTTTACAACACGAATAATGTAAAAATGTGTTTAATATGATCGTGCATAAAAATTTAGAAAAATTTAAACTCACAATCTTACAGAAGTGAATGTTGACAACTAAAAATAAATTTTAAAAACTAAATTAAAATTTTTAAAATTTATTTGTTGTTTTTTCTTTTTTTTCAAAAAGCTGGGATAATTTACTTTTTGTCCTGTGCAAGTTTTCACTTATGATTTCTTGAAATATAGCTCTGAAAAAACAGGCTTTTAAAAAGCCCATTGTGTTTCAGATGGAGCTGTTTGACTATGCCTTTAAACTAAATCACTCTGGCTCTTATTGAATGGCCAGTAATAGCCCCCAACCCAAGCCTTTGTGGCTCATTGTTTAGGTTTTGATGGCTTAGATTTAGAATGAGTGTAAGTAGCAATTGTTTTCTATTCAGACTAGAAATTCTAAAGGTCTTCTCAGAATGATAATTTTAAAAAAAATTTTAAATTAAAAAAAATTATTTTTAGGCAATTTTGGGTTAAGTGACTTTTCCAGGGTCACACACCTAGTAAGTGTTAAGTGTTTGGTCTGAGGTGGAATTTGAACTCAGGTCCTCCGGACTTCAGGGCCGGTGCACTGTGCCACCTAGCTACCCGGGGATGATCATTTTACAGTGGTAAATTGGGCCATCTTTTGTTTCAGTTCTTACCTAACCCGTAGTCATCGAATGGGTGTTGCCTCAGATAAACTGAGGCTTGAGAAAGACCTAATTTAGAAAGGCCAAGGTCACCCACTGCATCCTGGGTCGTTGCCACTTGTTCTGACTTTTGTCTTGCCACTGAACTTTGATGACTCTGGAGGGAGAGAGTGAGGCTGGCAACTTTGCCCAGTTATTTCTTACAGTTAGATTGCAACAATAGATAATTGCCTAAGAATGTCTTTGACAGAAAGCATAGCATAAAGCAGTGCTTTAAATGCCAAACAGGACTTTTTATCACTGAAGCTTCTTAACCAAGACAGCGACATGGTCAAACCTGTACTTTAGGAAGATCAATTTGGCGTGTAGGGTAGAAGACCTTGGGGTTAGGAAGACAATCTGGGTTCAGATTCTTCATCTGATATTAGTTGTGGAATCATGATAGTAGTACCCTAGGAAACTCTGATGATAAGATACAGATAAGATGCTAATATGCACCAGAGCAGGGAGATTCCGTACCAAGGAGTTCCTTAGTGTGGAAGCTGCTGAACTCACAGGTTCCAAGAAAAAAAAAATTAAGAATTAAAAATGTAAGGCACCTCCTCTTCTATTATTTTTATATCTCCCCTGGTGGAGCCTAGAATCACGTTAACCAGGTGGTAGGTGATCAAAAAGTGTTTGTTGAAATGATGCCAAAGATTATTGGAGTTATAAACTGATCCAACCATTCTGGAGAGCAATTTGGAACTATGCCCAAAGGGCTATAAAACTGTACATACCCTTTGACCCAGCAATACCACTACTAGGTCTGAATCCTAAAGAGACCAAAGAAAAGGGGAAAAGACCTATATTTATAGCAGCTCTTTTTTTTTTTTGTGCTGACGAAGAATTGGAAATCAGGGGGATACCTATTAATTGGGGAATGGCTGAATGATTTGTGTTGGAATACTATTATGCTATTAGAAATGACAAGCAGGATAGTTTTAGAAAAACCCAGAAAGACTTATATGAACTGATGCAAAGTGAAGTGAGCAGAACCAAAAGAACATTGTACATAGTAACAGCAATACTGTAAGATGATCAACCGTGAATGAGTTAGCTATTCTCAGCAACACAATGATCCAAGATAATTCTGAAGGACTTTAGATGAAAAATATTATCCACCTCCAGAGAAAGAACTGATGGAGTCTAAATGCAGATCAAAATAAACTTTTATAAAACTTTATTTCCTTGGGTTCTTTTTTGGATCTCTTTTCTTTTGTAATATGGCTAATAAGAAATATGTTTTACATGACTGCACTTGTATAATCTATATCAAATTGGTTACTGCCTCAGGGATAGGGGAAGGTAGAAAGGGAGAGAGAGAAAGTTAAAATTGTTTTTACATGTAATTTGAAAAAATTACATAAAAGTTTAAAAAAAAGGAATGCCAAAGGAACAGAACTTTTTTCTCCTTCATTTGGAGATAGAGGTTATGTCAGGTGCAGTTGCTGGAGCCCTTAGGATTATTAGATGAAAAAGTGAGAACTACCAACGCTTGCCACTTTCTCTTGGCCCCCTCTATCTTCTTTTGTCTTCTTTAGATTTCATTTCAGTGGGGGGTATCACTTCTAGAGAAGAGGAAAAAAAATATGAACTTAAAGTTGGCCATGTAACATTTGATTTTAAAAACCAGTGGTGTCAAACTGAAATAGAAATGGATCCCTGAAGGTCACATCTTGACTTGGAAAGCCACAAGTTAACATTATCTGTGTTGTATTGTATTTTTATTTATTATGTTAGACATTTCCCAGTCACCTTTTAATCTGGTTCTGAAACACTCAGGAGTTTTGGGGACTGCAAATTTGACACCTCTGATGTACATTGTTCTATTAAGATCGACATCTACATTCTAGCAAAGTAGCATGCTCCTGGCTTGGCTGCACCATGGGTGAAATTCTTTTTTTTTTTTTTTTTTGCTTTTTGGTGACACAGTTGGGGTTAAGTGACTTGCCCAGGGTCACCTAGCTAATGAGTGTCATAGGCCGGATTTGAACTCTGATCCTCCTGACTCCGGGGCCAGTGTTGTATCCATTGCATCACCTAGCTGTCCCCATGGGTAAAGTTCTTTTGATAAGAATGCATTTTAGATTTTTTTTTCTTCTGTTGTGCAGGTTGATCCCAAGGATGACTCCTACAGCTCTGAGTTTCTAGCTGATGCCGAGAGTCAGAGTAGTTCTGTGGAGGAAGCAGGGGTGACCCAGAAGACGAAGAGGAAAGTCAAGGACCAGGGGTCCACGGTGATCTACCTGAAGGCCCTCCAGGGCATCCTGGGGAAATCCATACCAAGAAAGAAAAAGAAAGAGACTGCGAAGCCAGAGCAAAACCAAGATTCTAGCCCTAGAAGCAGAGCAGAGCCCGACAAGAAGAGTGTCATGGTTTCCTTTCCAGTTAAGGAAAAGCATCAGCACCTGCCGGACAGCAGCCAGGAGGAAGATGAAGTAGACAGAGGAAATGTCACTAGCGTAACAACGGTTAGGGACTCTCAAGGCAATTCAAGTGAAAATCCACCTGGTCACCCAAGGACTGTCGTGGAAAAAAGCACAGAGCCCCACTCAGAAGGCCAGAGGGTGAGTGGGACTCACATTGTGCATCCCCTGTCTGTTCTTTGATTAGCTGGTGATGGGTTTTTTTGAGTCTGGCATATTCAGTTCCACAAGCGTACTACTGTGTACTAGGTGTCAAGAAATAATACAAAGATAATAATGAAATAGTACTGCAAGGAACTTACATTCTGTTGGAGGAGAGGAGCAACATGCACACAGATAAATAAAACAAAATATGGACAAAATAAATATGATAGTATTTATATATATTTGGAAAGGGGGAGGGGTAGCAATTTGGGGAATCAGGAAAGGCTTGGGATAGCAGCTAGCAATTAAGCTGGGTCTTTCCAGAGCCAGAGGTGAGTAGGGAGAGCATTCTAAGCATGAGTGAGGGGGAAGGCCCTGTGGAAGATGGAGGCAGATAGAAGTGTCTTATTTGGGGTACAGCAAACAGGTCAGTCTGGCTAGATTGTAGAGTGCATAAGGGGTAACAATATTTTAATCTGGAAAGATAGGTGAATTGATGGGCCAAATTGTAAGTGCCAAACAGAATTTGTATTTTGCCATAGAGGCAAGGAGCCACTGAAGTTTCTTGAGTGGAATAGTGACATGGTCAGACATACTTTTTAAAAAAAATTTATTTATTTTTAGTTCTCAACATTCACTTGCACAAGATTTTGAGTTCCAAATTTTCTCCCCATCTCATTCCCCACTCCACCCCAAGATGGCTTACATTCTGAATACCCCTTTCCCTAATCTGCCCTCCCTTCTATCTCCCCCCCTTATTTTATCCCCTTCCCCTTTTATTTTCCTGTAGGGCAGGATAGCTTTCTATACCCCATTGTCTGTATGTCTTATTTCCCAGTTTCATGTGAAAACAGTTTTTAACATTTGTTTTTAAAACTTTGGGTTCCAAATTTTCTCCCTTCCCCTCCCCACCCACCCTTGTTGAGAAGGCAAGCAACTCGATACACAGGCTGTACATATGTGGTCATGCAAAACACTTCTATAGTAGTCATGTTGTGAAAAACTGACTATATTTCCCTTCATCTTATCCTGCCCCTGATTTATTCTGTTCTCTCTTTTCACCCTGTCCCTCCTCAGAAGTGTTTGTTTCTGATTACCAACTCCCCCAATCTTCCTTCCCCTCTATCATCCCCTTGCTGTCTTATCTCCTTCCCCCCTATTTTCTGGTAGGGTGAGATAGATTTCCATACGCAACTGAATGTGTATGTTATTCTTTCCTTAATCCAAAAACAATGAGAATAAGATTCACTCATTCCCTCTCACCTTCCCCATGTTCCCTCCACTATAAATGCCTTTTTTTGTCTGTTTTATGTGAGATAATTTACCCCATTCTACCTCTCCCTTTCTCCTTCTTCCAGTATAATCCTCTTTCACCTCTTAATTTTATTCTCCAAATATCACCCATTCATCTTCAACTCACCTTATGCTTTCTGTCTGTCTGTCTATCTATCTATCTGTCTATCTATACGTATAATTTTTTTCCCTCCAACTACTCTAATACTGACAAAGGTCTCATGAGTTACAAATATCATCTTTCCATGCAGTAATGTAAACAGTTCAACTTTATTAAGTCCCTTATGATTTCTCTTTCCCGTTTATCTCTTCGTGTTTCTTTTGAGTCTTATATTTGAAAATCAAATTTTCTATTCAGCTGTGGTCTTTTCATCAAGAATGCTTGAAAGTCCCCTATTTCACTGAGTGTCCATTTTGTCCACTGAAGGATTATACTCAGTTTTTTTTTAGGCAACTGGGGTTAAGTGACTTGCCCAGGGTCACACAGCTAGTAAGTGTCAAGTGTTTGGTCTGAGGCTGGATTTGAACTCAGGTCCTCCTGACTTTAGGGCTGGTGCTCTATCCACTGCGCCACCTAACTGCCCCTCTGCTCAGTTTTGCTGGGAAGGTGATTCTTGACTGTAATCCTATTTCCTTTTCTCTCCAGAATATCATATTCCAAGTCTCTTAATGTAGAAGCTGCTAAATCTTATGTTATCCTAATTGTGTTTCCACAATACTTGAATTGTTTCTTTCTGCCTGCTTGCGATATTTTCTCTTTGACCTGGGAACTCTGGAATTTGGCTAAAATATTCCTAGGAGTTTTCCTTTGAGGATCTCTTTCAGTAGGTGATCAGTGGATTCTTTTAATTTCTATTTTGCCCTCTGGTTCTAAAATATCAGGGCAGTAATTTCTTGAAAGATGATGTCTAGGCTCTTTTTTTTTAAATCATGGCTTTCAGATTAGTCCAATAATTTTTAAATTCTCTCTCCTGGATCTGTTTTCCAGGTTGGTTGTTTTTCCAGTGAGCTATTTCACATTGTTTTCTGTTTTTTGGTTCTTTTGGATTTGTTTTACAGTGTCTTGATTTCTCATAAAGTCACTAGCTTCCAATTGCTCCATTCTAATTTTTAAGTATTTTCTTCAGTGAGCTTTTGGACTTCCTTTTCCATTTGGCCAGTTCTGCTTTTTAAGGCATTCTTCTCCTCATTGGCTTTTTGGCCCTCTTTTGCCATTTGGGTTAGGCTATTTTTTAAGGTGTTATTTTCTTTGGTATTTTTTTGGGTCTCCTTTAGTAAGCTGTTGACTTGTTCTTCATGATTTTCTTGCACCACTTTCGTTTCTCTTCCCAGTTTTTCCTCTGCTTCTCTTACTGGCTTCTCAGAATCCTTTTTGAGCTCTTCTATGGCCTGGGACTGATTCATATTTTTCTTGGAGCCTTTGGATGTAGGAACTTTGACTTTGTTGTCTTTTTCTGGTTGTATGTTTTACTCTTCTTTGTCACCAAAGAAAGATTCCATGGTCTGACTTTTTTTGCACAGTTTGATCATGTTTCTAGCCAATTACTTGAGTTTTAAACTCTGTTAAGGTAGGGGTCTGCTTACAGTGTGGAGAATGTACTGTCCCAAGCTTTGGGGGTTTTGTGCAGCTGTTTTCAGAGAGGCTTCTAGGGACCTGTAAATTTTCCATTCTTCCAAGGTGGGGAGATCAAGGGCGAAGTGTTTATTCCTTTCCTGCCCTGTACTCTGGTCTATGAGTGACCACAAGCACTCTTTTCTGCCTTGGAACTGTGAGGAGTATTCTCTTTTCACCACCACTGCAAGCTCCACCATGCCAGCGCTCCTCCTTGCCCCAGGATCGCCTCCCAGAACTGTGACCCAGATCCAAGCACTTAAAAAGCAAGAGAATCCTGCTTCAGTACCAGCAAAGAGATCCCTGTAATCCCCCTCTGATCAGCCACTCGATTCCCCCTCTGAGGGCCAAGCTCTGAAACAGCTGCTGCTCTGGGGCCGTGTCAGGACCAGGGCTGAGACTGAGCTTCTCTCTCACTGAGGTCATAGACTTTTCCTACTGACTTTCTAAGTTGTCTTTGGCATTTGTGGGTTGAGAAGTCTGGAAAGTGCCACAGCTGCCTGTGATTCAGTCCCCTGAGGCCCGCTCCAGGTTTGCCAAGGCCTGGTTTTTGCCTGCATGCCCATGCTGAACTGCATTCCTTTCCCAGGCCAGCATGATAGACCTTTCCAATCAACCATCCAGGTTGTCTTGGGCTAAAAATTTGTTTTACTCTGTCTTTTTGTGGGTTCTGATGCTCTAGAATTTGTTTGGAGCCATTTTTCACAGGTGTTTGGAGAGGTTTGGGGGAGAGCTCAAGCAAGTCACTGCTTTTACTTGGCTATCTTGACTCTGCATGCCCGCACCCCCCCCCCACCTATACTTTTTAGGAATATGAATTTGGCAGTCATGTGGAGAATGGAATGGAGTGGGGAGAGGTTGGGCACAGGGCGATCAGTTGAAAGACAATTGCAAGAGTCCAGGCAGTGAGGATCTGAATTATGGTAGTTGTAGTATAGGTGGAGAAAAGGCAATGAATGCAAGTGATATTGTAGAGTTAGGACCAGTTAGACTTGGTAACTGAGTATGGAGAGTGAGGGAGAGAGGGAAGAAACAGGGTTGATTTCTAGATTCTAAACTGAGATGACAGGAACAATGGTGGTACCTTTGACAGAAGGAGGAAAGTGAGGAAGAAGATTGGAAAAGGGGAGGGGTTTGGGGGAAAGATAATGAACTCTGTTTGGGACACGTTGAGTGTGATTCCTATGTTCCAGAATGTTGTGGAGGCTGTTGGAGAGGCCAGTCTGGAACGTGGGAGAAGTGAGGACTGTGAGTTATCTGCATGCAGATGATAGGTGAATGCATGGGAAGTGACGAAATCATTGAGAGAGAAGACAAGAGGCCAGGATAGAGCTCTGAGTTATACCTATACCCTAGGGAATAGGACATAGGAATCCTAAGAAAAGAAAAGAAAAAGGAAACTGATAAGTATGGGTTAGACAGGCAGGAGAATCATGACAGCAATGTCAAAAGCCAAGGAGAAGAGAAGAGAATATTCAGAAGGGAAAGGGGTGGTCAAAGGTGCCAGATGCTACAGAGAGGCCAAGAAGGATGGAGACAAGGGAAAAGGCCACTGGGTCTCATTCAGTCATGGTTCTAGAGAGAGCAGTTTTAGTGTGCTAGTAGGGAAGCCATATTGCAGTTGAGGAGAGGGAGGTGAGAAGGTAGGGGTGATGAGTGTACGCCAGAGGTGTCAAACAGGAGTGTAGCCAGAACCAGATTAAAATGTAATTGGGAAATATTTAACAAAATGAATTAAAATACATAAAGTATAGATGATATTGCATTTTAAGACCAAGTTAATATACAGCCCTCAAAGGTTTTTATTCCTATTTGAATTTGACACCACTGGTGTAGACTGATTATTTTAGCAATCTTACGCTCATGTCCTAGGACTCCAGGGTGCAGATTCGTCTTTTTTCAATACATCTGGCCACAGTAATCCATGTACATCTATTAAGTGCTATGTTAGGCATCTTGCTGCTGTGATTAAAGTTGGTTTATTTAGCTTTCTTACCTTTGAGGTCTATTTAAAGTTTTACATTTGATCTATTTCCAAGTCTTCCTCAGCCTGTCTGACTAGAGCGAAAACAGCCATGTTTATTAATGACTAGAGACAAACTGGTGTAGTTGGAAAGTTTTCTGACTTCTAGGAGTCAGAAAACCTGGGTTTGATCCCCAGCCCTGCCCCTTCTAGCTATATGACAAATCATTTTCCTCTCTGACCTCAGTTTTTTAGTCTGTGAAATGGGGGTAATACCCTCCCTGTCACTCTCACTTAATTGTTGTGAGGCTCAAATGTGGTAACGTATAGAAAAAATGCTCTTCACATTTAATGGCTAGATCAATGTAAATTTATTTATGTATTATATTATTATACAGTTATTATGTAATATATTATTATGTCTGGAGGAAATAATGTGTTGCTTTTGGCACAATGCTTGGCTCGTAGTAGGTGCTTAATGAATGTTTATTGATCAATTGCTCTGAGTCATTAGGAAGTAAGTTGAAATATTCACAACAAATTATTTAACCTTATTTGTTGTATTTGTACATTAAAAAACAAACATACATTATGGAGAACTGTTCCTTGAGATGGGTACTGTATGCTGTTGGCCATCTCCAGTGGTCTTGAGCTGTGTCTTGCCCCTGGATTCAGATGACTCTGGAGGAGAAAGTGAAACTTGTGACTTTGCACAGCCCCTCCCTTAAATCCAGTTCACTTGCAAGTCATGGTATTACACTCCTGAGGTCATGGTCTTCTTGAGCGTAAAAGACAGACAACGAGTTCTTACCCTTCTTTCCTCCTCCCCCCATACTCTTCAGTCCAATGACACTGGACTCCTTGCTGTTCTTGAATAAGACACTCCATCTCCCAACTTGGGGCATTTTCACTAGCTGGCCTCCAGGCATGGAATGCTTTTCTCCCTCATATCCACCTCCTGGTTTCTCTGGCTGCCTTCAAGTCCCAGTTAAAATCCTACTTTCTACAAAAGGCCCGTCCTGATCCCTCTTAATTCCAGTGTTTTCCCTCTTTACTATCTCCAATTTATCCTGTATATTTGACATATATCTCCCCCACTGGACTGTGAGCTCAGTGCCTAGCACATAGTAGGTGCTTAATAAATATTTATTGACTGAATGACATATGAGACTCTTGTAGAACGCCTGACATTTAGTGAAAGAAGGTTTACTTAGCCACATCAGGGAAACAGTACTCAACAAAGACACATTATTGTTTCGTTTAACTTTCCTGTTTCATTGTTAGGCATCTGGATTGTCAGTTTTAAGCTTGAGGGAGGAATTTCTCTGTGTGCTGGCTTTTTATATTTAGGCCACTAGGAAACTATGTAAGTGGCCTGAGCCTTAGTCCCCTGTATCAGTCAGGTCTGAAAGATGCTTTCAATACCTTTTAAGTAAAAACCAGCCTGGACCACATGACATTTACTGCTCCTGCCATACTCCCCTTCATTTACAACTCCCTTCTAGTCCAGTTAGCCTGCTAATTGATCCTCATACCTAACATCCTATCTCCTGCTTGCATGCCTTTGCTTGTCCCTGGAATTCTCTTCTTTCCCCTTGCTTCCTTCAAAACACATCTTGGTGCCACCTGCTTCACTAGGGCATTCCTGATTTCTCTCAAGGATTAGCATTTTCTTCCTTCTAAACATAGCTTTGGATTTTCTTATCTGTGTTCACATAGCTTTTCATTAGAATGTAAGTAAGCTTCTTTAGGGAAGGGACTTTATTTTTGTCTTTGTATTTCCAGTGCATAGTACAGTGCCTTGAACTTAGGTGCTTAATACATCTTTGTCGAATTAAATCAAGTTTCTAATCTCTGTAAAGAGTTACCATCAAAAAGGATAGTTATGAAGATTCATTCATTTGTGGCAAGCATGGTGCTAGTCAGGACTTGGCTGCAGGTTTAATCCCAGGTCTGGCAGATTAGCTCTGCTCAGTTTTATGGGCATAGACTGTACGTGTAAGTCCGGCCAGCTGTTTGGGAATTGCTAGCTGGGGCAGAAGATGAAGGACAGCCTTCATTTTTGTCCCGTATGCAAGAGGGACTTGGTGACCGAGAATGTGAATGGTTCAGTCACAGAGCTGTTCTCTTTAATTATGGTCTGTAGCACAGTAACAGCTACATTGTGTGATGATCAACCATGATAGACTTAGCTCTTCTCAGCAATACAACGTTCCAAGACAATTCCAAAAGACTTGTGATGGAAAATGCTATCCACATCCAGAGAAAGAACTATGGAGTCTGAATGCAGATTGAAGCAGATTATTTTCACTTTTCTGTGTGTGTGATTTTTTTCCCCCTTTTGTTCTGTTTTATAACGTGACTAATGTGGGAGTGTGTTTAACATGATTGTACATGTATAACCTATATCAATTTGCTTGCCATCTTAGGGAAGGAGAAGGAGAGGAGGGAGGGGAAGGATAGAGGGAGAAAATTTTGGAACTCAAAATCTTAGAAAAAATGAATGTTTAAAACTATCTTTACATGTAATTGGAAAAAAAATACTATTTGTGTTATAGTCTGTAGCATTATCTTCATACGTGAAAGATAATTCATTGTATCCATGATTATATCTTTTGTCTTCCACAGCCTAAAGAGAGGGAGGTGGTGATAGAAAATCCTTCTTCAGAAAGTGACTGGTCAGATATGGAAGATATTTCCACCGTCGGGTTCTCCCAAGAGGATTCTGTTTCTTTGAACATCTCTGTAGTTTCAGAGCCTTCATCCTCCACCACTGATTTTGTCATGTACCCAGCTCACTTGTATGGCAGCCCTTGGCGTGACTATGCCAACCACTGGGTCGGCAGTTCCAAGCCTTTCTGTTATCCCTCCACCAACAGCATTGGTGATGCTTCGAACATGGTGGGAAGTAATAAGAGCCAACTCAGTGATGGCTCTGCTGAGGGTGCTAACAGCAAGCCCAGCAATACCTCCAAGTACTCGGAAGTGGCGGAAGGCAAGACCCTCAAGTCTTCTTCACTTCATTCTTCTCAGATATGGGAAGAGGAAAAGGTGAGGCAGAAAAGAACATTCCGTGAAGAGGCGCCTCGTTTTTCTCGAGAGCGTACAAATTCATCATACCGGGGAAGTAGGGGAAGCCACGGTTCAGTGGGCTTCATTGACACCCACTGTCACTTAGACATGCTTTATTCCAAGTTGTCCTTCCAAGGCACTTTTTCAAAGTTTAGAAGGATTTATAGCAGCTCCTTCCCAAAGGAATTCCAGGGTTGCATCGCTGACTTCTGTGACCCTAGTACCCTGACAGATTACCTATGGGAGGATCTATTGAAAGAGGACCTTGTCTGGGGGGCATTTGGTTGTCACCCTCATTTTTCCCGATACTACAATGAACGTCAAGAAAGAAACCTCCTTCAGGCTTTGAGGCATCCCAAGGCTGTTGCATTTGGAGAAATGGGACTGGATTATTCTTATAAATGTACTTCCCCTGTCTCAGATCAGCGAAAGGTAAGGAGGTGCTTCCCCCCCCCATTTTAGTAAGCCTTTACTGAATTATGATAATAACTGTGCTATTTTTATCTAGTGCTCTAAAGTTTACGAAGCACTTTACATGCATTATCTCATCTGACCCTCACAACAACCCTTTGCTGTATTTACTACAAATGTTTATATCCCCACAATACGCAGCCAGTTGTGTTGTTAAACACAAATTAAATCCAGGCCCTCCCTCTGACATCAAATTCAGGGCTCTTCCTACTAAACCCCACTGCCTCTGGAGTTTAGTTGCCATTCTCATAAACCATCTTGATGTTGTGCGTCCACTCGTTTTAGCCTGCTAGCTGCTCATTTCCTTTGGGGAGAAAAGAGATTGGGTAAGAAGGGGAGATACTGACAACACAGATTACCTCCGAGTTATACTCTAAACTGATGTATCAGCTTATGGTTTCATCTATTAGAGGCCTGGCAAACTATAGAATTGAAAAACCTAGTCATATTTTTTTTTCCTTTGGAGGTGAATTAAATTGCTGAAAGTTACTCTTTATTTACAATTCTTTATTTTAAGAAAAAAATATTAACACATTTAATACTTGAAATGACTGTGCTTTTTTTAATGTGGAGGTATTCCGCTTGTAATGAATTACAGAGATGGAAGGGACCCTTTAAGATCTCTCCTAGTTAGTTTCTTATGATAGTAATAACTAACATGTTGATAGCATCTTAACATTTGCCAAGTGCTTTACATCTCTTATTTCATTTTGTCCTCACAACAGTATTGTGAAGTAAGTGTTATGGGTTATATTATTTCTGTTTAACAGATTAGGAAGCTGAGGCAGAATTTGAATCTGTGCTTTTCCCACTACTCTGAGTCTAGGCGGCACTTGAGGTCAGGAGCACCTGAGTTCAAATGTGGCCTCAGACACTTACTAGCTCTGTGATCCTGGGCAAGTTACTTAACCTCCATTTCCCTCAGTTTCCTCAACTGTAGAATGGGAATAATAATTGTGCCTACCTTCCAGGGTTTTTGTGGGCAGAAAATGAGGTATTTGTAAAGAACTTAGCATAGGGCCTGTTACACAGTAGGTGCTGTAGAAATGCTAGCGTTATTTATTCACTTATTATTGTACCACACTGCTTCTCACATTGTACATATGAAGAAACTGAAGCTCAGAGCAAGGGGGTGGTTTGCTTGAGATCAGATTTAATGACAGCTGGGAAGAGAACCTGCCTCCTCAGCCCAATGTTTTTTCTGTTACACCATACTGCCCCTTGTTCTTTTTTTAAAAATAATTTTTATTGATATTTTCTGTTTCTTACATCACAATAGTAGCCATGTATCACTCCCCCTCCCAGAGAACTATCCTGTAAAACAAATAGTATTTTTTAAAGAGGAGAAAAAATCAGCACAATTGATCAGTACTTTGAAAAAGTCTGAAAACATGTAATGTGGGGGGCGGGACCTCCCCCCTCCACGAAGGGTTAGGTTGAAAGAGTCTCCTCATGTCTCCTCATTGAAGTCCTGCTTGATCTTTAACTTGTCACATTCACTTTTGATTTGTTCGTGTGTGGTTGCTCTTTCCATTTCTGTTGGTGTAGCCGCTGTGTATGTTGATTTCTTGCCTCTGCTTCCTTCACTCTGTATAAGTTCATATAGATTGCTTCTCTGTGTTTATCACATTCATCAGTTCTTACCGTACAACAGCATCCCATTGCATTCATGTGCCACTCTGTTTAGCTGTTCCCCGATTAATGGGCATCTACTTTATTTCCAATTCTTTGCTACCACAAAAAGTGCTGCTGTGACTATTTTGGAGTATGGGGGATTTTATCTTATTGATAGATTCCTTGGGGTGTCTGCCCAGTGGAGCTATTTGGAGTCTCTGGTTCAAAGGGTATAGACATTTTAGTCACTTTATTTGCATAATTCCAACAAAATTGTTGTATCATGTCACAGTCCTCCAATGTATTAGCGTGCCAATCATTCCACAACCCCTCCAACACTGACTGGTGCCATTTTTGGGGGGATCATTTTTGCCAATTTGCAGGGTGTGAGGTAAAACCCCAGGGTTGTTTTGATTTGCATTTCTCTTATTAGTGGTTTGGAGCATTCTTTCATGTGATTGTGAATAGTTTGCAGTTCTTCTTTTGAGAACTGTTGGTTCCAACCATTTATCTGTTGGAGAATGGCTACATTGATTTCTTTTGTTTTTATGCTCACTGCACTTTGCATCGCTGTTTTGCTTGGTTCCAGCTGCATGGAGCAAGCTCTTCACTTCTAATCTCAACACAGCCCTGTTGCTTACTCAAGCCTTGCCTGACACCACCCTCCCTCAGCCTCTTTGCTCCTCTGTTAGGAGGCCTCAGGGCAGAATACCAAACTCTTTCCCAACAGAGAGCAGAAACTGGACTCTTCAGCTTGCTCCACTCTGCATCTTCTGCCCTTCCTGGTTTTAACTCCATGGAACAAGATGCCCATCTGGGAACCCCCTGGTCCGTCCAGCCTTTTTCCTCTTCCTTTTTTGTGTGTTCTCTCTCTCTCTGTTAAATTGTAAGCTTTTTGAGAACAGGGACTATCTCTCCTTTTATTAATTGTATCTCCAGCACACTTAGCACAGTATCTGGCAGCACAGTATATGAACTCAATAAATGTTTATTGGATTATATCACTTTTGTTTCCAGATATATCCTTCCTCCACTCAGAGAGCCACCTTCTTTTTAATTAATTTTTTTCAATTGTCAAGCATTTTTTTCTTTTCCCACATCCTTCCATCCCCCCCCACCCCAAGAAAAAGATAAAACAAAACCCTTGTAAGAAATAAACACAGTCAAGCAAATTCCTGTGTCAGCCATGTCCAAAATGTGTATCTCATTCAGCACCTTTTGTTGGGGGGGGGGTTCGGCAGTTTAGAATTCCTCATCTTCATTCCTCTGGAATCATGATTGTTCTTTCAGTTTTTAAGTCTTTCAGAATTGTTCATTTTCTACAGTTTTGATGTTATAATATAAATTATTTTTTCTAGTTCTGTTAGAACTACTAGTTCATCAGTCCGTACAAGTCTTTCTAGGTTTCTCTAAAAAGATCTTTCTTCATTTGTTACAATTCCATTACACCCATATGTCATAATTTGTTCAGCTGTTCCTCAGTGTATGGGCACCTCTTTACTTTCCAGTTCTTTGTCATTACAAAAAGAGCTGCCGTCAATGTTTTTGTACATATAGGACTTTTCCCTTTCTTTGATCTTGGGATACAGGCTTAGTAGTGGTATGGTTGTGTCAAAGGCTATGCACTATTAATACCTTTTTGGGCATGGTTCCAAATTGCTTTCCAGAAGGGCTGTACTTATCCACCAACTCATGTACCTATTTTCTTGCAGCCCCTCCAGCATTTATTATTTTCCTTTTTGTCAACTTTGCCGTCAGATAATTGTGAGATGGAACCTTAGAGTTGCTTTAAAGGTCATTTTGCCAGTTGTTGGTGATGGGGAGCATTTTCTCACATGGTTATAAATTGCATTTTTTCTATTGAAAACTGCCTCTTCATATCTTCATATCTTTTGACCATTTGTGAATGCTTATTCTTAAAAATTTGAATAAATTTCTTGGAAATGAAACATTTATCAGAGAAATTGAAAAGATTTCTTTCCCCCAGTTAGCTGTTTCCTTTATAATCCTAGCAGCATTGGATTTGTTGGTGTGAAAGCTTTGTAAGTTTATGTAATCAGAATCGTCTTGTTTTCTCTTCTGGGATCTTCTCTGTTCCTTGTTTGGTCACCAACTCTTTCCCTAACCACAGATCTGTGAAATTCAAACAAATTCATTTGTTTATGACGTGACATCATATGTATCTAAATCACTATCCATTTGGAGCTCAACTTGGCATATGGTGTGAGGTGTCATTTTAAACCTAATTTCTGTCAGACTACTGTACGCTTTTCCCAGAAGTTTTTGGTAAATAGTGAATCTTTGCTCCAGTAGCTGGGGCCTACTAATTTATCCCTTTATCTTTCAGCCTGTACCAGATTGTTTTGATGATTACTGCTTTGAGTTCTCAGTTTGAGATCTGATATTGTTAGGATCCATTGCTGCCTACTTTTTTTCATTATTTCCCTCAAGATTCTTGACCTTTTCCTTCTTTGGATGAATTTTATATCCCCCCCCCCATTTTTTGGGATTATTATTCATTTTCCATTGGGCTGCTTTCATGAATTTCATGATCTCCAGAAACTCATTTTGCCAGAGGTCAATCCTGAAACTCATACGTCCTCAGCACTTCCTACCCTTAGGGACCCTCCCTCCCTCTTGGAGGGAAGGCAGGAGTTGGTAGAGGGTGTTCATCTTGGAGCACCTCTCAGATCCTCCGTCTGAAGGAGGCATCGAAGGCATTCACCTCATCACTTCCCCGGCTGGCTGTTCTCCTGGACTTCATGATTTCCAGAAACACATCATCTTCTTTTTTTCTTTTTCTTTTTTCTTTCCAGAAACACATCATCTTGCAAGGTGTTATCAATTCTAACATGCCTCCGCAGATTATTATTACCCAGCTCAGCTGCCAGACTTCATCTTGCCTCCCCCACCCCTTCCTTTTTAGCTTCTTTTTAATGTGTTGTCTTCTCCCATTAGATTGTGAATTCCTTGAGGGTAGGGACTGTCTTATACATTTCTTTACACCCCCAGCATTAGCACAATGCCTGGTACATAATAGGTGCTTAATAAATGTTTATTAACTGCCCCTGACACCAGATCTATAAAGTAATCTTTTAGTGGTTTCCGTCTCTTTTCTTTTTCTTTCTTTTCTTTTCTTTTCTTTTTTTTTTTTTTGGTGAGGCAGTTAGGGTTAAGTGACTTGCCCATAGTCACACAACTAGTGAGTGTTATGTGTCTGAGGCTGGATTCGATCTAAGGTCCTCCTGGGTCGGTGCTCCATCCAGTTTGCCACCTAGTGCCCCTCCATCTCTTTTAAAGAAGAATAAAAAAGAAAGGAGAAGGGGAAGGCAGTTCAGCAAATTCAACCTACATATCAGTGATCTGACTGTGTATGAAACATTCCCCCCAACCCCTGCTGCAAAAGAAGGTGTATTTTCCTGTCTTTTTGCTGGTGCTAAGCTTGGTTAGTCTAATGACAGAATGTTCGGTCTAATTATTTATTTTGGTGATTCACTGGCATTGTTTTGTACTCATTGTGTTCATTGTTTTCCTGGTTCTGTTTACTTCCCTCCATATATGTACATTGTAGTTACGTGGATAGGCCACAATTTGTTTAGCCATTTCTCAGTCAGGGGCGTGCTTTCATTCTTAATTTTAGTTGTTTTTTTTTTAAAGCTCCTGAGTACTAACCAAAGCTTTGATTCCAGTAATGAAAACATGTTTGTGTGTATTTGTGTGTTGTATTACTTTTTTTTAATCAAATGCACTAAAATCTGGCTGGTAATCAATACATTGTAGTCCTGGCTGTGTTGTAAAGGTGTAGCAGATTTGTGTTAGATGGATCAAATGTCCTGAAATAGCTTCTACATCTTGCTTTTTATCTTTCAGGTATTTGAAAGGCAATTGCAGCTGGCTGTAGCTTTGAAGAAGCCCTTGGTAATACATTGCCGAGAAGCAGATGAAGATTTACTCTCAATCATGAAGAAATTTGTGCCTACTGACTATAAAATTCATAGGTAATGACCTATTAGGAACCCTGGAACTGTTTTACAGCGAACAGGGAGCAGGCCTGAAATTGGGGAACTTCAGATCAAAGTTCTCTTGAGAACATTTGGAGTTTCCAGATGTTTTGGAACTTAGGGTAAGGCTGTGGAGTCGAGCTACAGAAGAATTCATTCTTGACCATCACATCTGTGGTACAACAGGGAAGTATTAGTTCTTGCAAGAAATACTTTAGCACGTTCAAAGGAAACTGAAAAAATGTTATTTTTCTGTCACCCATTTCCTCTGTTTTTCAGTTGACAAGTTAATTTCCCTTTTCAAACAATCTGTTTTTGATAAGAAACAGGTCCAAGGTTCTCTCTATAGGACCAAAACCATTAAAAGCAGGGAGGAAGAACACCTCCGGGTTTGAGCATAGTTTTCTTTTTCTTCTAGTCCAGTCCAATTTGTGCTGAGTGAAAAGTGTCCAGGACCTTTTGAGTCACAGATGGTCCTGGAAGTGATTTTTTTGTGTGGCTGGCTCTCTAGAGAAAGGCATGCCAATCTCTGACTAATCTGGAGTGGTTTTAACCCTTTCTTTTGGAAAAACTTACTTTGCTAACAGATAGCAAGAAGGTAAAACCTAGTGAAATGTTATGGCATTGAATAGAAAACTGCAGCTAGAGGTTCGAATTTAGATTAGTCATTGCTCTCTGGATCAAAATGGGGTAAGGTAGGCTTATGTGCTGATGAGACTAGAGTCCAGATATTTCCTCTGTCCTTCAAAGAGCAACTAGTCTCTGGTATAGGTGATCTCTCTCAGAGAGACAGAGCCTCTCAAAGGCTTTAGCCAAGCTGAGGTATAAGCAAGTGCCTTGAACAGACCTAAAGTCTAATTAAGGAAGGGTTAATAGAAAGGCAGAAAGGAAAGGAAGGGGTATGTCGGGATATGGAGCAGTGTTAAAGAGGACCGTTAATAATTGTTGTGGGTGTCCTTGGCATCCCCTCCATCATTTGTCCTTCCCTGCTCTTAGTTCCTGGTTGTACAAAGAGAAGCCCAGAACATTGTGACAGAGCCCGTGCGGGTGAGAAGATTGAGCGGCACTTTCTTTTTTTCTTTCTCCCAAAGGCACTGCTTCACTGGTAGCTATTCCGTCATCGAGCCCCTGTTGAAGCACTTTCCCAACCTCTCGGTGGGATTCACAGCACTTGTGACCTATTCTTCTGCCTGGGAAGCCAGGGAAGCATTGAGACAGATACCCTTAGAGAGGATCATCGTGGAAACGGACGCTCCCTACTTCCTCCCTCGTCAGGTAAGGCTGTCTGTAGGGGATGAGGGGTGGGAGATGGTGGAATCTGATTCAGGGCCTTCGATTACCAAGTTAGTTGTGTCTGGGGGAGGTGTGTTTGGAATGTGGTCATACCCCACAAGGGCAGCAGAGTTAGAGCCCAAGTGACCTCTCAGGACCCCACTCTGGGACCTTGCAGATCTTTCCTTTCTGTTGCTCTGCAGAACCAGAAGGCCTAGGGGGAGGAGAAGATGACGGGCAACCACTCTCTTCCCTTCCACCCACCTCCTGCTGCAGGCAGTGCAAAGTCCTACCCTGTAAAGGGTAGTCCAAGGAAACATGGGACCCTGCCTGTCACCCCGAGCCCCACATGACCTAGGACTCTCCCTGCACCTGCAGGTAAAGGGGTCTCTAAAGGGCAATCCCAAAGAGATCCTTGCTGGGGAAGGGGCATGGTTGGGGGTGGGGGTGGATGGGAATTTTATATTACTTGAATGATTCAGAAAACAAATGGTTGTTCTAAACCCTTGATGTCTTCCAGGTCCCCAAGAGCCTTTGCCAGTATGCCCACCCAGGTCTGGCCCTCCACACAGTTCGAGAGATTGCTAAGGTCAAAGGTGAGCCACTCTCCCAGACCTTGGCCACCTTGCGACAGAATACCAGCCGCCTTTACAGCCTTTAAGGGAAGGCAGAGGACGTTAGGGTTTTCATAAATCTACAACAAACTGTATTTTCTTAAATTTTTGACTGCATTTTTTTCCAGTACAGAGAATGTAAACATAGGATTACCCTTTAAGTCAGATTTGCCTTGAGGTGAACTTTTTGGTGGTTTACAACCTTCTTCCTCTTTCCCTCACACCTTTCCTGGAGATCCAACCATAGGGCACATACATGTCCCGCGGCCTGAGGCCAGCATAGAGGGTGCTTGGACTGTGAAGGGGACATCTGGAGAACCTGACGTGGTATTGTAAAGGAGGGAAGGAAGTTTTCTTAGAAGTCTCTTCACAGGCCCTTTGCTCCTGGGTGGATGAGAAACTCATTCAGAGGATAAACAGGAAGCTAGTGTGCTAGCTGGAACGTGCCTGAGGGGAAGGGAAAGTTGGGGTACCTGAGGGTGCAGAGAAGGTTGCTGAACTGAATCTCCACAAACTGTAGTCTGTGGTTAAACAGCATAAAGTTTTTCAATAAAGTCATCTTCCTAAGCAGGCATATATGGGTAATGTCACTAATTTTCTCTTTAAAACACACCTTAATAGGAACATCCTTCTGTAGGAAATTAACTATAAACTACTGTTTAGAGATTTGTGTCCTCATACAATTATATTGACATGCCATTGAGATTGTCCTCAGAGAGGATGCCACTTTTTGGCCTCATTTGTGTTTGAGTTGCTATGTTTGGCTCTTCTTCTCTTTGGCTCAATTACTAAGCAACAGAATGGTACACAGATGGCCAGCAGTGATTATTTTGACTGGTAGATACCTGGAGGACACCCCACAGAGGGTTTGCATGGGAGGAGGGTATTCCCTGACCCACAAGAAAACCCAAGGGCGAGTTTTGGGTAAATTTTAAAATGGTTGAGTTCAGTTCTCCACAGTGCCTGTCTATTGGTATCACTTTGGATTGCCCTGGCCTCCAATTCCCCCCTTTTTCTTGGACCATTGGACTACTACTGAGGACCAAGTACAGCTTCCACAGTTGTCTGTGACAACTGCATTTTGTTCTCAAGTTGAGTGGTGAATAACTTCTCCAGGTGTTTGTTTCTTTTCAGTGTTTTTCCCATGTGAAACAAAACAGACCAGCTGTCTTTTAAGCATGGAAGATATACTGAAGCCCGCTGTGTTTCCCTAAATCTTTTCCTTGTGTCAACATCTTTTCCATCTCTGTGTTAGACTGTGAGCCTATCGGGCCAGTGATGGTGTAATTCTGTGTTCTGTATTGTGTCTGGCCCCATCGTTTGGTGTTTTTTTAGGGCGTACTCATAATTGGCTCCCTGAAGTCAATATGACGGAGGGTTGTGTCTTGTCCTCTCTAAATTTAGAAGGATCTTTGATCTAGACCCTTCTTCACCAAACAGATGGGCTGGCCTGAGTGCTCTGTTTCTTAAAAGAAAGTTCATCTTAGTTGCAAATATCTAGATTTCACTTTGTTTCTGAGGTCTAAGAAGATGAGTGTTTTTGTGAGCTAAAAATGTTGTTGGTTTTTTTTTTTTAAAATTCTCATATCTGCTGTTTCCTCATCCTGTGCATGTGATGTTGCAGTCTGGTGCATTCACCACTGTTAGGAGACCTAGGTCGTATTGCCAGGTCTGGCAGCTCACTGTACCATTCATTAACTGCTCTGTGCCTCATTTTTTCCCATGTGGGAAATTGGAGGCAATCCTGATCCTCCTGCACAGGATTTGGGAGCTAGCTAACTCTGTTTTAAAGTGCTTTTATTGTCACCCATGTGAACTGCGAATACTAAGTACTAATCTCTACCAGATGTGAACTCAGTTTCACTTTCTACTTAGCACTATAAATGAATTGCTGCCTAGACCTGAAATGAAATGAAAAAATCCTGGTTGAGAGGATTAAAACAATGAAATGAGTGGAAGTTGGCAATCCCATGCATGACCTCCTTCGGGAAAAGGTGCTATGTAGACTTCAGGATTATTGTTTTACAAATCCTGTTCAGTGTCAATCGGTTATTTGAGGTTGACGATAATTGGCAGTATTTTCAACCCTGCTTTTGGAAAGGCCTGTCTCTCAGCTGTGCCACCAGAAGGTCCACCAAGTTTCCTGGTTCACTCTTTGGGAAAATAAAGTGATTCTTAAGCTATCTTCCTAGTTTTCCATGTTTGTTTTGGCGCTCTGTAAGTGGTGTCAGTGATGTGCAGAGATTGATGCCTGGCTTTATCACCTTGGGATGGAGTGGATGATGTAGAATTTCATAGGATGTAGAGCTGGAAAGAACCTTTGGAGCAGGAGTTCTTAGTACTTGGGTAGTCTGGTGAAACCTACGGTCCTCTTATACATGCATAAAGTAATATACATAGGATTACAAAGGAAGCCAATTATATTGAAAGTGACAAAAATTATTTTTCTTTATTTTTACAAAAATGTGTTTTTTGAAAAGTTCACAGACCCCAGGTTAAGAGCCCCTGTCTGGAAAATCATCCAAGTTCTTCACTTTACTGAGGAAGAAACTGAAGCCAAGAGGTTAAGTGGAGTATCAGGGCACACGCAGGAAGGAGAGGCGGGCGTGGCTTTCTCTTTCTGTGTCACATTTACATTACTGAAGCAAGATCATGAGGCATCCTAATTAGAATTTTAGCTGAGCCTGAGCAGGGAGAAGAAGCATTAATGATAGTTTGTTCTACAGTAGTAAGGCACTAAAGATAATCCTCTTCCCTGGACATCTGTCGAAGCCGGGCAGATTCACGCCCATCTGAGATGGTGTAGGAGGAACATAATGGACAGAGCATAGCTCCCATCTTCACCCAGGCGGTGCCCTCTTTCCTACTCAGGTGATGTTGATGGAGAACATTTTTGCCAAGAGTATTTGTAGCCCTGTCGATGCCTCCTGGAAAGTACGGTAAGGACATTTTTAAAAAAGGATGCTTGGAATTATTGGTATCTCATCGATGTCAGTGTCAAAGCTGAAAGAGCCCTTAGAGATAATTGAATCCAACAACCTCATTTTATGATAAGAAAAGAATTTTAGAGAGGTATTAGTTTGCCCAAGGTTACATGGATAGAAATTGGAATGGGAACAGGACTTGAACCCACGTCTCTTAATTTCCCCAGTGCTAGTGGCCTTAAACAGCTTATTTTATAAAATGCTTTGGTTTATCATCTGAAATTAATTCTCCTGGACTGTCCCTATTGGTTATGAAGAGGAAAAGAAACAGGGAGAAAGCTCTAGGGCACTAGGCATTCTTCCCCAGAGATGGCTTTATAACTGTCAAGCGAAGTAGGGCATTGCTTTTGGGAATATCAAGGACTCATCTGTTCAAGGGCTGCAGTCATCCACACTGCCTTAGGCTTGACAAAGCACTGTTGAGGTGGTCTGTGTAAGGTGAGGAAATTGAGCTTCTTAGCTTGCTTGCTTGGTGGCAGAACTGGGGCATAAGCCCAGGATATTCTGCTTCCTGAGTCAAGTGTGCTTTCTACCATAGCAGACTGTCTCTCCATCATCACTTAGCGGTTTTACTGGCTTGATGTGTGGCTCCTATTTTAGTAGATCTGTGTCTGTGAGTCCTTAATCATAAAACAGCCTCTGGTTTGGGGCTTTTATTATCGTTGATTAGATAGCCTTAGGATTTAGAGCTGGACAAGACCATGGAAGTCATCAAATCCAAGCCTGTGGTTTTATGGATGGCAGAACTTAGGTCTAGAGAAGGGAAGGGGCTTGCCTAGTGGCAGGTGATGGAACTCAAACCCAGGTACTCTGCCCCCAGTTCCAGTTATTTATACATTGTCCTACACATCACACTCTCAGCACCACTTCTGGGCTACTTGACTCAGGTCCCAACACACTAGACAGACACTTAGGGCATCCTGGGTCCTGGATAAGTATACGATTGGGTACTTGTCACCCAAATTGGTACTAGGTGCAGAGATGTCCTTAAGCATAGGTAAATGGTTGACTGTCCACCTCAGTATCAAGGAAGGGGCCTTCACATATCTTCTTCCTCCATCTGTTAGGATCTGTTAAATTCTTTCAAAGGGTTCAAAGTCATTCCACAATGATAAGACTTAAAATGCAAATACCTCTGAGAGAGGGAACTTGGCAGCTCATCTTCCACATAACTATGATGAAATAGATTTAAAAAAATTTTTTTTAAATTTTTACTGAGAGTAGGAAGGCAGGTGTTGATCAATTGCTAAGGTGCAACAGAAGACAACAGAACAAAGAAGGTCTGAGAACCTGGCCTCTTTCTTACCCACACTGGATGGTTATGTGGGAAAATATCATTAGAAAAGAGTTTCTTAGACTTGGGGCTAAGAATATGGATTTGGAGCCACTGAGGTATATACCAGGCTGCTCCACAACATGGTGGCTCCTGTCGCTTCATTCACCTTATATAATCAATACCAGGCTGGGGTCTTCAGGAAGACCTATACTTGTGTATGGTAGCAGTAGAGCGCTAGACTGAGTCAGGATGACTAGAGTTCAAATCCAATTTCAGACACTAATTGTGTGACCCTGCACAGGTCATATAATCTTTGTGAACTTGAGTTTCCTTGTCTATAAAATGAAGATAATAATTGTACCTACAGGGTTGTTGTGAGGATCAAATGAGATAGTGTTTGTAAAGCACTTGCAAATCTTAAAGTACTATAGAAATGCTAATTGTTATTATTAAAGACCTGTGGCTTATGCTAGGGTCCTTTCCAGAGTGGGATCTGTCTGCCTTCATCAGAGGCAAAATCTTTTCACACCCCCTAGACCAAAGTACTATTTGGAGATTCTGTGCTCCATAGAATTCAAGTTATGAAGGTACGAAGTTAGTGCTATTTATCAGGGTCAAAGGTTTTGAAATCTAAGTTTGTCTTTGAGCTCTTTCTCTCTTCCTCTTCCCCATTTATTTCATCATGGACAAGTACTCTGTACAAGTTTCTCCTTTGGTGGTCCACCCTCTCTTAAGTGCCCCAGTCTTCTGTCCTGGCTTCTCATCCCATATAAATCTGTCCTTCAGTCCTTGATTTAATCTTAAATACTCAAATGCTGTGATGTCATCAATTTGGAAGTTCCCTCCAGAGTCAATGATTGCAACCCCATTGTGTCTGCCCTTCCTATGTGATTGGCTTATCCATGTCCTCCCAAAAGTTCAACGTAGTCCTTCACCTTTTGGAACGGAGAGGGTATGAATGGAGCATTCACAAATTCCATTTGTTACCCTGCCCTTCCCACATGAGCACTCAGTCGTTACTTCTGTTGCATAATTCTGTGATGACCTCTTTGACTTCTGTTCTGTGTTCCTCAGTGTTACTTGTTGCAGCCTGCTCCCTCCCACCACCAAACTATTACCTTCGGTGATATTAACATTGAAGTATAAATGTAGACACCTTCAAGATACCATTTTTTTTTGAACAGTGATGAGGTCCTTAAGTTACAGGTCGAATAGGCAACATCCTGTGAATAGGGAGGATATGTTTTGGGCTCCTGAAAATCACACCACCTGGAAGATACCTATGTGAGGGTCTATATTGCTGCTCCTATTTACATAGTATTTAAAGGCTAAGAAAATGTTTCCCTCAGAATCCTGGGAAAGTAGATCAAGCAAGTATTATCCCTATTTTTAAAAAACGGGAGGTGGGGCTCAGACTCCTTCTACCACAAAGGGTGGAAACTCCTTCACAACTGATTTTTAGTTTATAATCTTGAGAGTTGACTAGGGCATTGCAGTTAAGTGGCTATCCCTGGTCACCAGATAGAGGACTTCAGTCTACGTCTTCTTGACTCCAAGTCTGCCTCTACCCACTATACCATATTGCCTCACCATTTAACAAAATTAAGTGAGGCTAATAGAGGAGATAATGGGCAGGGACTTACCACTAGTAAGTGTATGAGCTGGGATTCAAACCCAGGTTTCTCCTGACTCCCAAGTTCAGTGCTCTTTGCAGTATAACATGTAAGGCAGAGAGCTGGGAGGGCATTGGAAGGAGGGAGAGAGAGGGAACATAGACTCTTACAGTTCCCTTAAAATCCGATCACATATGTGGCCTACCTGGCCCCTGAGGTTAAGGGTAAAGCTGATGGCTATTGAACAGCAAAGCTCACTGGCCATCAAGTTCAATATCAGAAAAGTCTCAGTATGAGTTGTGATTTCCTGCCAGAAGATATAGAGGGAATAGGAAAGTAACAGTGAACTAGGGTAGATCAATTCTTTTCTCATTGACTTCCATATTAAGCCAGACAAATTTGTAGTCATCCACTGTGGTCTGGTGGGCTGTGACATCAGAAAGACTTTCTCTTCAGCTATGGCTTTTCCACTAATGAGTAATCTAGAAACAAGCCCTTCTCTGCATTTTGGAGAGTTCTGATATTTAAAAGAACCCCACCCAGAGGGAATCCTTTGTGAAGAGACTCTCCACCCTTTGAATAGCCAGCCCTTAATTTGTCAGTTTTAAAGAATTTGGATTTTGTCTGGTTTTCACTGACTAGGCACTTGTCCCTCGTGGAATATGTCTTCCTGATGCTATTGGCCAATGCTCAAGTTCTTTTCCAAGAATGTTACAGAATGCTTCTGGGATGAAATAAGTTCCCCTTTTGTGGTCTCAGGCTACAGTGAGAATTTTATTTTTCTCCCCGGCGTACAATTAATACACAGATAGGGGAAATTGTCAGGGAAGCAAATTTGAATGCAAGACATGGGATGATGCATGTTGGTTAGAAAAATGTGTGGGCTCATCTCTTCAGGGTGTCAGTTTTCTCCTGTATTTCCTGAAAAAGGAAGAGAAAGTAAGGTTAGTTCAAATGAAAATTCCCATGTGTAATTCTGCTTGCTGATGCCATTGAAAAAACAAACAAAACAGAAGGCACCAGTAATAGCTAGCCTTTACAGAGTATTGTAAAGTTGGGAAAACACTTTCCACTTTATCTCATATGATCCTCACTACAACCCTGGAGAAAGGCACTATTGTTATTCCCACTTTACATAGGAGGAAATGAAGGTTAGGAGAGCTTAAGTGATTTGCCCGGGGTTACACAACTACTAAGTGTTTGAGTTAGGATTTGAATTCCCGTCTTCCTCACCCTGAAACCCAGTGTTCTTATTTACTTTACCACCTGGCTGCTTAGATTGGAGAAGGCTAATAATGCTCATTTTTGGAGTCAGCTGACCCATCAGCAAATAACCATTGAGTGAATCACTGTCATTTGTTGAGTTCTTTAAGGTTGGAGAAGTGCTATGTGAATGATTTTATCACAACAACCCTTCCTACAGATGAGGAAAGTGAGGTAGGCAGAGATTAAGTTATTTGTTCAGGATTACAGTGTTGTAAATCAAATTTGACCTCAGATCTTTCTGACTCCAATTCCTGTCTTCTTTCCATTGCATCTTCTGTCTGCCCCAAGAACTTTCACAGCCATTGTCAGATTGCTTAGCAAAGTAATGAGCTCTTAATCACCGGACACATTGGGGTGGGGGAGGTTGGATGGCTAGCATTTGATGGAATATCATAGAGAAGATTCTTGCACTGAGTAAGACGTTGGACTGGTTGACCTCCAGGGTCACCTTGGAGCTATGATTTTATCATTCCTGAGTACTGATTTACCAACAAAAAGTCCCAAAACTGGGCCAGAAGAGGAAAAGCCAACTATGAGTTATCCAAATGGCTTTGGGTTATCATAGCTTTATAAATGCTATTATGATGTTGGTATTAATATAAATGAATTTAAGCTATTTTTAGATTAAGAACTGGATATGTCATTTGATTGGTAAAGGAACGCCAGGATGGGGGAGTTCTTACCAATCACGCCTACAATTTATAGTCAGAAAGCTGTCTAGACCCCAGGAGATTGTGACCTGTTCCCTTAGACTGTCAGTATGTGTGAGAGTTGGGATCTGCACCCTGATCTTCCTGGCTCTGAGATACCCTATCTTCTCTTCCACACTACCTCTTGAGCAGCTAGTCTCATCAACTCTAGTTATTATCTTTATTAAATACCCCAGAAATCCACTCAATCTGACTTAAGGTTAAGTTGGAGTCTTTGGTAGCAATAACTGACTTAGCTAGACTTAAACTATTTATCTCAGTTTCCTCATCTGTAAAAGGGGAATAATAATCACATGCCCTCCCTTCCAATCTCACTGGGCTGTTGTGAGGATGAAGGGATATAATGGAAAGTAAAGTATAAAGGCATATCAGAAATTGTTACTGGTACAGTTGGCTTGGGAATGGAGCTGTAATGAGGCTTCTACTGGGAGGAAGTGCCCTCTGCTGGCAGTGGGGAGAGAGTCTAATCCCATCACACTTTTCTCTCCTACTCCCTCTCAGCTCCTCAAACAGGCAGCCTCCAGGGGCTGGGGAAGGTAACATTATCCCCAGGGAGTAAGAAGGCAAGAGCTGTCCCAACTCAGAATTTTTCACCACTGGTCACATAGACATCCATGGGGGATTTTCTCTAAAAGTTCCCTATTACATAATGGCATAGGCACCCTTTACCTGTAAACTTGAGGGGTTTCAGACCAGACCTGGCCGAAGTGCTGAAATGATGAGGCCAGAGAAGTTGGGAATGGGGAGACGTGCACCTCTGAAGAATAAGACTTACCTACATTACAGTTTTGGTGAGAGTTATACCTGGCCCAAACTGTTCTTAAAATGAGAACCCCACCAGAAGAAGCTTAATAGCTAGCATTTTAGACAGCACTGTAAGGTTTGCAAAAACTTTTACATATGTAATCTCATTTGATTCTCAGGGTAGGCTTGACTACCTTGAATGAGAGATGATCTTCTCTACAAGACCCTTGTCTTAGTGGACAAGAGCAGATTTCTGTCTGGCATTTGAGCACTTGCATAGACTGGTGGCGCCCTGCTTTCGTAGCCTAATACTTTCTTCCTTGAATTCTACTTTAGCTACACTGAACTACTTACTCTGCACCCCAACACACCTTGGGCATTTTCCCTTTCCCCTGCCTTTGCTCACACTGTTTCCTATGCTGAGTACCCTCCCAGCCCCAATTTGCCTGTCAAATTCCTAGCTCTTCTGTAAAGCCCAGCCAACTCATATGCCATCTCCTTCACGAAATTTTCTCTGATCAATGACAACTTCCCTTTGCAGACTTTGTACTTTTGTAGTGCATTTGTTAGGTAGGTATTGTGTGTGTGTCATAATTTTCTGTGTAATGGGGGTCTGACCATTGAAGGCCCAGCTCTCAAAGAATATCTGTGCGAGCTCTTAAATGGAGGGTTGAACCCCTCCATTCCACCATCGTGAACTTCCAGAAGGGGTCTTCCCCTCGGTCAAACCCTTTCTTCCCCCTTCTCCTTATATATGCTTGTCTTATCCCCTCTATTGGCCTATAAACTTTGTGAGGGAAAGGGAAAATGTCTTTCCCAAAGCTTCTCTCATGCCCTGAGGCTAGCATAGTGTTTTGTACTCAGTAGGAACTTAATAAATAAATATTTGAATGTTTACATGAATGACCAAGGGCTTCAGTTATCTTCACAGATATCCTGACCTCAGAGAGTTGCATTGGAGAATCTCTAAGAGTCTCTCCAGATCAAATGAGATCATATATGTAAGATGTTTGGCAAACCTGAAAGTCTAAGTAAATGGTAGTTGTTGTTATCATTATTGTTTTTATTATCCTATGTTTAAGAAATTACCTTGGTTCTCTTCCAAAAGGATCTCCTGTAGGACCTTTTCCAGGGTGCGCCCATATTGCTGATACTGAGCCTCTGCCACTTTAATCCCAATGTCAAAGGGAGCATTGAACTAAAGAAAGGAGCAACCCCCACCCACCCGCCCACCCAAAGTGGGATTAGAGACAAATGAGACTTTCCTTGTTGGCTATCTGTTTCCTTTAGGAAGATTTCAGCATAGAAAGACTCTTCAAAGCCATATTCTTTCCAAGATCACACTCACTGGGGGCCAGCTAGGTGGCACAGTGGATAGAGTACCGGCCCTGGAGTCAGGAGAACCTGAGTTCAAATCCGGCCTCAGATCAAACACTTGACACTTACTAGCTGTGTGACCCTGGGCAAGTCACTTAACCCCAACTGCCTGAAAATAAGAAAAAAAAAACTGACCCTAAGATCACACTCATTGGAGAAGGGAATATAGGCAGCCCAGGGACACAGGAGTCACTAACACTGGCGGTTGTTGCTAAAAAGTTTGGCCTCCTCCTTGGTCAAAGTTTGTCTTTGGGCTCAAAACAACTAAACTATTCTCCCTTTCTTTTGTCCCTTGGAGTTTACCCTAGGGCTTATTCCCCCAGACTTGCTTTCAGCACCAAGAATTTAGCTAATAATGGTTCAACTTGTCCACTCTCCCCCTTCTTCACCCCCCCCCCAGGGCCATTCAAATTGTCTCAGCAGACTCTGGAGGATAAATCTTCAAAACCCAAAGGAATAAATCTCTAATGGTGGAATTTCAGTCACTTCAATTAGAGATGGGAGATATATTTTAAAGTAGGAAATCCTGCCTAGTGCTTTTAAAATCTCACTGAATAGTTCTGTGGCCAGTCTTGGGAGCGTGTGTGTTGTGTGTGTATGTGTGTGTGTGTGTGTGTGTGTGTGTGTGTGTGTGTGTGTGTGTGTGGTCTTTGACACCTTTTCTTAACATTTCCTCTTTTCACTTTTCTCTTTGCTTATTTTTTTTTTAACTCCTTCCTCCCTTTTTCTCCTCTTTTTTTCTATCCTGACCCAAATTGCTTCTAATAGTTCACAGGATTGCTTACCCCTTTGGTATCCCTCTAGGCTAATGAGTATCCTGAGGGCCTGGTCTAGACTCCAGAACACTGAACAGAGAATCTGGCTTTATTACTGGTGACATTAGTCAAGTCATTGACTCTGTGACTCTTTTTCCAATTTTAAAATGGGAAAAAATAGTGCCCAATATTTTCTCCTTGCCAGCAATGTCAGGAGATGAATTAAAGCACCCAGTATAGCCTTTTTTTTTTTTTAAAGGAGGAGAAAAAACTCTACTTGTAGTTTTATCATAGAATTATAGGCTTGTTAGTTTTAGAGCTCTTCTGATAAAGACCTCCTAAATCAAATATGGGATAGGGCGGGAGTGGAGGTGCCTTATACTGAATGACCGAAGGACCAAGGTCTTGGACACCAGGTCTACACCAAATGCATCATGCTGCACTGATCTGCTATCTCTTGGGTGTTCCTCCTTATCTACTGTCTTGGGATGTAATTACTGAGCTGGTGTGTCATATAGGAGCTGGTTTGATTCCAGGGGTCCAGATCTCCTGTCTAACCTCCCTGCTGACTTCAATATCAGTTTCTTGATGTTTGGAGAGACAAGATCCACATCAGTGCTATCCTACCATTATCAGAGGACTCTGGAAGTTAGAAGTCCAAACAAAATGGCATTTATCTAGGCTAGCAAATTTATACATCTTGCTCCTCTAATTTCAGGGATTTGAAATCACAAAAATCACCATTCTCTGTTGAATTCTTCTGTACTCTTGTACATCTTGTTCATCCTTTTCCATTGTACCCTTTATCCCCACACCCAAGCCTGAAAATACTTCCCTTCATCCTTAATGTCTCCTTTTCATTTTCTATCTTGCATTCACAGAAACCAGGGGTTCCCTCTTGAAGACCAGTGTGTCCATGGTTAAACCCTACCATGCTGGTTGGCCCTTCTTTCATGTCCCCCAAGGAGGAGTTGGCATACTCCTTACTCCTCCATCGCTCCTTCAACACCTGGCAGCCTCTCTTCCTATGAGCTTTACTTCTCCCATTCAGATCCTTCTTGCCTACACTTGCTTACATCTAAGGCATTCTCCCTCTTCTCAAAGAGTTCAGTATTTGCATCAATTTTATCTCAACCTCTTCACTTTCACCTCAGCCCCCAGCTTCTTACTTGAGGAGCTTGTATACATGTTAAAGACTCCTCAAACACACTGGTCTCTGAATTAATCAACTTTCTCAATTCCCATGACCTAAACCTTTATTCTTGGTCATCCACAGGAATGATCAAACCTTAGATCTCACCACTATCTGAAACTGGGTTGCCCTCATTTTCAGATTCTGAGGTTCTTGTCTCTGATCGTAATCTCTTGTCCTTCCATCTCTTCCTCTGAGTCACTTTGAAATCTGATTGATTATTTCTGCACCCTCCAGCCTCTCTAGTCCATCAACAAATCCACCACCTCTGCTGTCGCCCTATTTTCCTCTCTATGTAGGTTTGACCTTATTCTCCACTTTTGATTCCTTTGCCTTTTTTGCAATTGCTGTTCACAACTGATCAACCTTCGATCATCTCCACCATCTGCCTTCTCTGCTCATCCTCCTGAGTGGCTAGAAGCTGGTGTCATAAAAAGTCACATCACTGTGATGGCTGAGTCTACTATAAATTAATTTTATTTCATCTCAATGGGGTCCATATTGCTACATGGCAAAATGTGCATTCTCCCTTGTTGATTCTCTATCCCATTCCTCTCTACCCCATGAATTGTCCAAACCTTCTCTCAAGGCCCTAGTGGTACTCAACATTTTCCTTGATTTGCTCACTTCCTATTTGAATGAGAAAATCAAGGCTAAAATCAAGGCTATCTATTGTAAGCTTCCTTAGCTCCCCTATTCCACTCATCAAAACTCCTCTGCATCCATTCTTTCATTCTTTGCTCCTTTTTCTAAGGAAGAGTTGGTCCTTTTGTTTGCCAAAGCCAACTCCTTTACCTATCCTCTCAATCCTACCCCCTCCAATCTCCTTCAGAGGTTTGCTGCATTATTCATTCTCTCTACCCTTCTTGAGACTCTACCTACCCGCTGACTCTTTCCCTCCTGCCTCCAAAAATGTTCCAGTCCACAGCATTCTAAAAAATCTTTATTTGACCTTGTCACCCACCCATCATCTCATATCTTCTCAGTCTTACTCCCAAATTTCTGGAAAGAATTTCTAATGGAGACAAATAGATTGCTGGCTAGCCCTACTCCCTTGCCACCCACTAATTTCTCTATCCCTCACAATCTAACTTTCCACCCTGTCACTCTCCTGAAATTTCTCTCCAAGATCTGTTCACCACAAAAATCTGTTCTCCATCCTTCTCCTCCTTGAACTCTCTGTAGCTTTTTATCTCACTGACCGTCCATTCGTCCTGGATCCTCCCTCAGCTTGGGTGACATTCCTCTCTCCTGCTTTTCCTTCTACTTGCCTGGCTGTTGCTTCTCAGTTTCCTTTGCTTAGTCACCATGACAAGCCTTCACCTGCTTCTTCAGTCTTTTTTTTCTCTCTCTACTGTCTCGGTGAGCTCATCTCCCACAATTTTTAAGTATCATCTCTATAGAGATGATTCCCAAATCTACATATCTAGCCCTAATATCTCTCCTATAGAGCTAACTGCCTACTGGATTCATCCATCCAGATGTCCCCTAGAATCTCAGACTCTATATATGAAATTGAGTTTACTATCTTCTCCCCTAAACCTATCCCTCTTTCTAAACTTCCCAATTTCTATTAAAAGCACTGCTATACACATAGTCCCCCAGATTTATATCCTTGGAGTTGTTCTTTACTCTTCCTTCTCCCTCGCTCTCCATAACCTCCCAGCTGCCAAGCCTTAGATCTCTCTCCATCTGTTAACATTCGTAATGTCTCCACTGGTACAGCCGCCACCTAATTCAGGTCAGCATTGCCTCCTTCCTGGACAACTGTAATACCCTCGTAATTGCTTCCAGTTTCTTCCCTAATTCGTCCTTTACACGTGGCTTAGAAGAGAATCTTCCATAGTTAAAGGGTCTGGTCATGTCATCCCCACCTGAAAAAACTTTAGGGGGCTCCTCATTGTCTTCAAGATAAAATACCAGCTCCTAAGCTTGGCGTTTATGACGTCCTTCACGTACTGGTTCCCATCTACTTTGCCAGACTCATTTCAAACTACTTTTCCTTTCAAATTCTATGTTCCAGCTAACTGGACAGCTGTTTCCTGAAGCCCTGCCCATACATGAGACCATAAGTGGTCTCTTGGACTAGACTGTCTCTTCATTTTCATCTCTTAGACACTTTGCTTTCTTGAAGCCTGAGTTCAGATACCACCTCCTCCTTGGAGCCTTCCCTAATCTCTCCAGTTGTTAATTTTCTGTCTCCCAAAACTATGTACTATGCTTCTGTGTTTGATGGATCTCCCACCTCCAAAACCCATCTTCCAGTAGCGTGTAAGCTCTTCGAAGGCAGGAGCTAATTCATTTTTTTGGTCTTTGTATTATCAGTGAATAGCATAGTGCCTTGTACATAGAAGGCCTTTAATCAGCATTTCCCAACTTGAGCTAAACTGCTTTTAGAGCTAGCTGGAAGGGGCCTCAAGAGATCATCTGACCCAACCACTCGCCTTCAGGCAGTAGAAAAAGTGGAGTGACCTGCTCAAGGTTATACTAATGATGACAGCCAGGACTGGAACACAGGTCTGAATTGTGATGAACTGCTTTCTGTCCTTGGGTAGGACAAGGCCTGATGTCCCTTCTAGCCCTCTTATTATTCAGGTTAAATAATTTCATTTGTTCCACCTCCAATTGGTTTGCAAAAAGCAACTGAATGAAAAAGAAATACTGCTGACTTTAAGTATCAGGAGATTGGGATTCTAGTCCCACTCTGCCACTGACTCTGTGTGACCCTGGGCATGTCCCTTCCTATCTCTGGGCAGCAGCTTATAGATTAGATGACCTTTGAGGTCTTTTGACTCTGCCATCTTGTGTTTAGAGGCTACATTCTCACGTTGTGGTTAACAGATGATGATTAGACCACCTTCAAATGGAAAGAAAAATGCAATGGGCCCCTCTGGCAAATGACTTAGCATTTAGCTGGAGTCCATGGAAAGGGGCCAGATAAGTAGTGTTGTGCTGTACTGGAGAAAGAGAAGAGCACTAGGCTAGGAACCTGGAGATATGGGTTCTAGGCCTGGTTCTCCCGCTAAATCAAGGGGTGGATGACTATAGCTTGTAGTCTGGTGGCAGGGACCCACATAACTGAAAAAATAACTGTACTAGAAATCTGACTGCTGGTACCATGTATAAACGAACCCTTTCTTACCTTATGGATTGTACATGTTTGTGCATGTGGATTAAAGTTCACTTTTAAAGTGTCAAGAGCCGGAAGGGACCTTTGAGATCATCTAGTCCATCTTACATGTGGGGCAACCAAGTGGAAGAGCCAGGACTAGGAACCAGGTCTCTTGATTCACAATTCGACTATGCAATGCTATCCCTTTAACCTAGTCCCATTCTAATGTCTGGGCCCCCTAAGTAGACTGTATGGTACCTGAGAGCAGGGACTGGGTCATGTAATTCTATACTTACTGGTTATTGTGCCTGGTTATTGAATGATGGATGAGACACCTTTCTTCCTAATCAGTTTCTGCCTTCTCCTTCCTCTTACCCCCATCAGACTGTGTGGAAGCACCCACCTGGATTTCCAAACCCTTCTCTAATCCTTCTGGCTGGCTGGAAGAGTCTTCCACGTCACGGGGCTGAAGTTTGACAGGTGGCTTTCTGGATTCCTTCCGCTGTTGGAAAGACACAGAATGTTTCCTTCAGGGAGTGAGCCCCTCTGAAATCTCTCCCTTGTGTTTCTTTGTGGGTGGAGTCGGGTGAGGGGTTTGGGAGAATTTTGAGAAGGGCCCAGAGAGGTTACGTGCCTTGAACACAGTCACACAGTTACAACAGCAGAGCTGAGATTAGAATCCAGAACCTAGACAGCAGCCCTTTGTGGGTGAATGGAGGAGGATGGGTACTGGCCTGGATCTTTGGGTGCTCCGGGCTTAGGAAGCTGGAGCCCGCTGAGGCCACATCAATCCACAGCATGCTGAGGAGGAGTAGGCTGCAGATGACCACCTTGGGGAGCATCTTCTCCGATGGGACAGGAAGCAGCCAGGGCCTGAATAGAGAAAGGCAGGAAGACAACCCCTCCTTCCCGCCCTGGCTAAGAGATTAGCTATGTTCCACTGTATGACTCTGCTCAGTGGGCAGTGGGCCTGGTCCCTGGTGCCTGATACTCTTGGCCCCTCTCATCTCTCCTTCCCCTACTTCTGTGTTCTCAGGCTACTTTCTGCCTGATTTCTTTTAGCTGTATTGTATAACCTATGTCCCTAGAGAGATTTTCAACGAACGATGGATTTAAATCCAGAAGGGACCTCAGAGGTGATCAATCTGATCATCTTCCCCTCTCCTAATTTTTTTCTCCCCCCACCCTTCATTTTGCAAATGAAGAAACTGATGCTCAGGAAACTTAGGTAAATTGCCTAAATCAATCTATGAAAGTATTCCTAGCAAGGCTATTACATTGGCAACCTCAGAGATGGAATTCGAATCCAGGTTTCCTCAGTCCAGAGCCAATACTCCTTGCACTGGACCATGGTATGACTGATATTGAAGCTGGAGGGAAAATTTCTTTTTTGTTTTTTCCTGTCTTACACAGTAATTTCTCTATCTTATGACTTCACCTTCCAGTCTTTAATAACAACAACAAAAATTATAGCTAACATTTATATAGCACCTACTATATGCCAGGAATTGTGCTAGGTACTTTACAATTATCCCATTTGATCCTCACAACAAACCTGGGTCATAGGTACTATTATTATCCCCATTTTACAGATGAGGAAACTGAGGCAAACAGAGGTTAAATAGCTTGCCCAGGATCTCAGAGCTAGTGTCTGAGGTCACATTTGAATTCAGGTCTTCCTGATTCTAGGCCCCAGGGCTCTGTGCACTATGGTGCCACCTTTTTACTGAGTATGTGTTGGGAGCCTTGTGTGTTCCCAGATCAATACTGGGGAGTATTAGGATATTAGAATTGTTGTCAATAGTCATAATACTAGGATGCAGCAAAAGCAGTTGTTAGGGGAAGTTTTATATCTCTAAATGCTTACATGAACAAAATAGAAAAAGAGGAGATCAATGAATTGGGCATACAACTAAAAAAACTAGAAAAAGAACAAATTAAAAATCCTCAATTAAACACCAAATTAGAATTATTGAAAACCAAAGGAAAAATTAAGAAAATTGAAATTAAGAAAACTATTGAACTAATAAATAAAACTAAGAGCTGGTTTTATGAAAAAAACAATTAACTAGATAAACCTTTGGTTAATTTAATTAAAAAAAAGAAAGAAGAAAACCAAATTACTGGTATCAAGAATGAAAAGGGTGAAGCTACCACCAAGGAAGAGGAAATTAAAACAATAATTAGGAACTATTTTGTCCACTATTTTGCCCAACTGTATGGCAATAAATTTGACAATCTTAGTGAAATAGATAAATATTTACAAAAATATAAATTGCTCAGATTAACAGAAAAGGAAGTAAAATACTTAAATAACCCCATCTCAGAAAAAGAAATTGAACAAGCCACTGATGAACTCCCTAGGAAAAAATCTCCAGGGCCAGATGGATTTACAAGCAAATTCTATCAAACATTTAAAGAACAATAGTAATAATACTAGCTATTATTTCTAAAGCACTTAAAAGTTTACAAAGAACTTTGCGTGTGTAAACTAATTGGAAGTAGGAATGGTTTCATTTTTTGGACTTGTATCCTCAGCACATAGCCCAGCACCTGGAAAGGCTTAATAAATGCTTATTGGTTAATTTAAAGAAAGAATATTTGGGGCCTTTCAGAGAGCTTATGGCCTGCTTGAGGAGACAAGGCTAATTCCCATGAGATATTAATGTGAATAGCCTCATAATCAGAGAAAGATCTTTTGAGCTGGAAAGGATGCAGAGATTTATAGAATGTCGGAGGAGGAGTGAGCAGAGTGATTGCACCCCAGTCAGAGCCTGTTTTAACTAAAGCAGGGCAGCCCTATGTCAAACACCTCCCTTCCCATCAGAGTCTTCTGACTCTGGGGAGGAGAGTGAGAGTTTGGGACTCTGGTGGCCCAGGATATGAGGTGGGAGTGTGTTTGGGGGTGGAGGGGTTGCTGAAGGGATGTTGTTCAGCCGCGCCAAAGATAATCTTGGGCAGTGGGGCAGTGCAATTCCTGGGCAGCCCAGTGAGGAGAGGCATGTGGGTCTGGGGTACCCTGGACCACTTTCCAAACAGGAAAAGAGTTCATTTGGCATATTCTTCCCTGAGAGAGGGGTTACTCTGGGACTTCCAGGCATAGAGATTGGGCTGGTCTGGGGAACAGGATGGGGTAGCAGCTACATGGCCTAGAAGTGCTCTCTGATATCATAATCTATGTCCCCCTCCTCCTCCACCCAAAAAACCACCTGGATTTGCCCTGGATACCAGGATTCCTGGTGATGGCTTTGCATCTTGTCCCCACACCAATCTCTATTTTATAGGTCAGGAAATTCCCAGGACAGGGAAGCAGTTTGCTCATGGTCTGTGCAGTGAATTAAATCTGCAAAGAAATAAGCACATAGGTAAACTGATCAAGGAATCTTTTTAGAATGGAATTCATACCTGGAGGATCTCACAGACGACTTGACCACCTTCTGTTCCAGGCTCTTATATAGTGAGTAGAGTTTGTTCTAAGCCAACACTCCGCCTCACCCCCCCCCAAAACAGGCTGGTTTGCAGAGATGTTTCATGCACCCTGGAAACAACGTGCTGATGTCACCTTGATGGAAATCAAAACAAGGGAGGTCAGAAGGTCTGGAGGAATTACAGGGTTGGTTTGGGGTGGGAAGCATGTTCCAGCTGTCACCAGAAAGCAGAAGGACAGACATACCATCCATCCCTGGGAATGAGGACATCTAGGCCTACTCTTCTCTGGGTCTTAGTTTCTCCATCCATCCATCCATCCATCCGTCGGTCAAATCATTTAATAATGCTTTGTGCCAGGTATAATGCTAAGAAAGGCAAAAACACAGTCTGCTCTCAAGGAGCTCACGTTCTACTGCAGGAGAGAACGCATAACTATGTACAGACAAAATATAGATAGAGTAAATGGAAAAAAATCTGAGAGGGAAGGCACTAGCATTGAGGAGACCCAGGAAGGGTCTCTTGCAGAAGGTGGGATTTGAGCTTTCTTGAAGGAAGCTGAGGAAAGCGAGGAGGCAGAGGTAAAGAGGCAAAACATTCCCAACATAGAGGACAGCCAGGGAAAAGATGCAGAGGTGGAGTTGGGAGTGTTGGGTGTGAGAAGCAAGGAAGCCAGTGGGGCGGGATGGAATCTGATGGAAGAGTCTGGGGGCTGGGACAGGATGAGTGGAGGACACTAAAGTATGAGAAGATTGGAAAGGAGGGAAGAGGCGAGGTTGAAAGGACTTTAAAAGCCGAAAAGAGGCTTTTATATCTGATCCTGGAGGTAATTGGGAGCCTTTGGAGTTTACTGCGTAGGAAGTGACAGAATCAGACATGCATATGAGGAAGATCACTTTGGCAGCTGAGTGGACAATGGATGGAGAGGGGAGAGAATTGAGGAAGGGAGACCAACCAGCAGGCTTGTCTGTGCATGCACCAGCATCTGCAAAGTGAGGAGGGCTTAGATAGGTGTCAAAGGGAAGAATTTATACATCTGGACAACTTCCCTATCTCTCAAGTTTTTTTAATTGCATTCTTAAGTTAGTATAGTTTCCATTTTTCTCTTTAGTGTTGAAAAGCTATTTTTTTTTTTGTTTTTGGTGATGAGGCAATTGGGGTTAAGTGACTTGCCCAGGGTCACACAGCTAGTAAGTGTCTGAGGCTGGATTTGAACTCAGGTCCTTGTGACTCCAAAGCTAGAGCTCTATCCACTGCCCCACCTAGCTGCCCCTGAAAAGCTATTAATAATGACAACAACGACAATAGTAACCAACATTTATACAGTACTTTATAAATATTACCTCATTTTATTCTCACAGCAACCCAGGGAGCTAGGTGCTGTTATTATTATCCTCGCTTATGATCCCCATTTGGATCACATAGCTCTGGGGTGTCTGAGGCTGGACTTGAACTCAGATCTTCATCTATGGCTGCCGAATGATACTGGTATTTGGAAAGTGCTATGGAAAGAATCCGAGGTCTCATATGCTTATAAAAAGCAGGACCATGGTACTACTTTGTTGAATGCATCAGGATTGTCACCATCTTTATTCTGCCATTACTGGCTTTAGAGTTAGAGCTGGGTTCAAATTTGACTTTTGCTGTTTACTACCTGTTCGGCTTTGGGTAGGGCAGGTGTGTCTGAACGATTGATTTGGTAGCAGGGTGCATTAGAGTGGGGAGAAGCTGGAAGAGGAGGAGGCCACTGCAAATGTCCAAGGACCTATGGGAGGAGGGGGTGCCACTGTGATCGAAAGGTCATTGTGACACTGTGAGCTAGGTTGAACTTATACGATGTCAGAATTGGAAGTGACTTTAGACGTCATTTAATCAAGGGCCATTTATGGAGCCCTCATTTCATGGAGGGGGAAACTGAGGCTCAGAGAAAGGAACTAACTGGGCCAAGGTCTGCTAGTGGCATACGTGGAAGTGGTGGGATTTGAATACAGGTCTTCTAAGTCTGTCCCGTGTGGCCATGTGAAGGCTGTCAGGAAGTAAGGGGTGAAACCTGCAAAGGTTTCCATAGGCTGGAAGAGGGTGGTCTGAATTGGCATTGAAATGCCACTCTCTCCCAATATTTCTCCTACCCACCTGCCTTGGTGCCTGAAATGTCAATCACTCCGAGTACTGAGTCTCTACTCTCTGCTGTCTGCCCCTGCTTCTACCCCCCATCACGCCAGGGTTCAGCGTGACAAGCCAGAGCAAATGCCCTGTGCCTCACTTGGTACTAACAACATCCCATTTCATTATTGTAGGACCTAGGAAAGTGGGGCCCTAATTAACTAGCTTCCCAACCCCCGTGGCAGGACAACTCCCACCTCCTACTCTGCTTCTCCTTGTGATTCAGAACCACAGAATTTTTGAGTTGGAAGGGACAAGATGGTACCTGAGGAAGCCATCTTATCCAGCCTGTAACTGAACAAGAATCCCTCTTACAATGTGCCAGCGAGTGACCATCAGCTTGAAGATCCCCAGTGAAGGGGAGCATCCCATTGCCCTTGGGGATTGCCCTCATGGCATCACCCCCACTTGTCTCTTTGCAGGTTTCACTCATTGCTCTTGGCTCTGCTCTCTGGGGCTAAAATTCACTATATTGAGGTGAGACTCCATTCCCAGGGTTAACCTTTTCCCACACCCTCATTCCTATTCACCTCAGCCCCTTTTTAGGAGGCAGCTAGGTGGTGTAGTGGGTGGGTGCCAAGAAGATCTTGGCAGTTCAAATCCTGCATTCAGACACTTACTGGCTGTGTGACCCTGGGCAAGTCACTTAATCTCTCTTCAGCCTCAGTTTGGTCAGCCGCAAAATGAGGATAATAAGAGAACCTACCTCCCAAGGTAGGTAAGGATAAAAGAACATGAGACAATATTAAAAAATGCTTTGCAAGTCTTGAAGTGCTATATAAATGCTACCTAATTAGTATTATCCAATGGCTTTTTCACAATGCTCATTCACCCTTTACCTTTGACATGGCTGAGCATCTCCTCTTCCTCCCGGATACCATCTCTCCCCTTGGCTTTCATGACACCATTGTCTTCTGGTTCTCTTCCTACCTGTCTGATTACTCCTCAGTCTCATTTGCTGTTTCCTTATTCATCTTTTTTTTTTTTAAGGCAGTGGGGTTAAGTGACTTGCCCAGGGTCACACAGGTAGTAAGTGTCAAGTATTTGGTCTGAGGCTGGATTTGAACTCAGGTCCTCCTGACATGAGGGCCGGTGCTCTTTCCACTGCGCCACCTAGCTGTCCCCATCTCTGTTCTTCTAACTGAGAGTGTCCCCTAGAGCTCTGTCCTGATCCTCCTCTTCTTTCTCTCCACCCTTTCTCGGTGGTCTCATCAGCGCTTATGGGTTCAATGATCTCTTCTATGAAGGTGATATGTAGGTCTCTGTATATCTAATCCTGATGTCTTTCCTGTACTCTCATATTGCATCTACAGCTGACGGATGGACATTTCCATGTGGATGTCCCATAAACATCTAAAACTCAGCATATCCAAAACAGAACTATTATCTTTCCCCCTAAACCCATCTCTTCTCCTAACTTTCTTATTTTTTTTTCAAGGTTACTACATTCCCTTCTTTCTATGCCAACCCTTCTACCCAAATTAAACAGAATGATTCTTCCCTTTCTGGCAGACTATCTTTACTCCGGGTGTGCCCTCTCCCCAGCACCCCTGTCCTGCCCTTTCCTGGAATCTTCCATGCTTGCAGAGTGGATGGCCTCAATAGCTCCATGTCTGTGACATCAGAGATGGAAAACCATTCAGAATCAGAGAATCACAGCCCAGACCGAGTGAGACCCCACTGAACTCTATGAAGCCTTCAGTCTTGGCATGTGGGCACTTCAGTCTCAGCTCTTTATTTCCGTCTTTGGAAATGGTGGGAGAAAGGCTTATTGAAGACACCTACCAGAACATGCCTCTTAGGGGACTTGAATGTAAGGTGTACCCATACAGGCACAAGTATTTCACTGCTTCAGATTGATGATCTTACCTGTGTGCCCAATCTCCTTTTGCCCACCTCATCATAAAGCCTTGCTGTTCTTAACCATTATGGACCATCTGGAATCAAGTGATGGTTCTACATAGAGTTGACCTTCCGAGACCTGGTATAGGAATGATCTTATTTCCCTAGGCTAGATTAAGAAGGTGCCAGGGTGGCTGGCAGGGAGTGGGGCCAGAGCACACATCTTCTGGTATCTTTTTTTGGGGTGGGGTATAAATGTGTATGTCTATGGATTCTTTCTATAAGTACTGGAGTTAGAGCAGCTAAAGGTAACTATGACTTCCCTGACATCCTGAATTTGACATCCTTCCTTGGGGCTGCTGTGGTGTGGAGTTAGCAAAGAACTTAGGCACTGTCCCTTACTCCACCTTTGACCAGGACTAGGAGCTGTGACTAGCTGGGTGGGCTCTCCCAGGACCATTGTTGACTTTCACCTTCCTCCTAAAAGGCCTAAAGGTCACGACCAAGGTCCAATGACTCAGCTCAAATTTTAACCTTCCAGAGGTATTGTAGTTAAGTGTCGGGAGAGGTGGGTTCAAATCCTGCCTCTGACGTGATGACCATAATAGCATAGACAAATTACAACCTCTTTGAGTCATAGTTTACTCATCTGTGAAACAAAAGTACTAGCACCTACCATATAAGGTCTTCATATGAGGTTACATGAAAGTGTTTTGTCAACCTTAAGAGTGCCTACCAATATCAGGTATTTTTATTATTCCCACTCTTGGTGACTGAGACATAGGAATATTCTTTACCTGAACCTTTATTTCCTTTCCCTTTTACCCTCTTGCTCCTGGGTATCTTGCTTTAGGCCTTGAGACATCCCTTGTATGAAGTTGAGATGCCCCAAATACAAGCCTGTTGCTTTCAGCATTAATTGGCCCATGGCCTCCTTATGGAAAAAAAAAAAACCCACCACCAAAAAACAAAACCAAAAAAGTCTCCAAATGACTTCAACAGACTGGGATCCACCTTTATTAATAACATCATATGCTGATATGTTCCCTTGTGTCCACTCACACAAACACCCCCTTCACTCAGGACCTTGTCACCTCTCACCAGGACAACTTCAATAACCTCCTGTCACAGTGAATATCCTACCTTTTCTCCCAGCTTGAAGTCTATCCCCTCCAATTTGTCCTCTCCACAACTGCCAATCCATCCATTCTTCAATCAATAAACATCACTTAGTGCCAGGTACTGTTTCGTGCTTAGAATGTGCTCCCCCATCATCTGAGTCTTTCAGAATCCTATTCCTACAAGCACAAACCCCAAACTATCCTTGAGAATTCAGTACACAAACAGTCCTGGATCCTGAGCATTATCACAAATAAAGCTGTTGCCCCTAATTGCCCAGATTTAATACTAATCTATAAACATTCAAGAGAAACATTTCTAACAGATGTTAACATGGTGAATACTCAAAATCTCCAAACAACCTTGAACTAAAAGCTTAAGAAACATAGTCATCAAGAAGAGGAAATCAAAACCAGGAACAGGATGGGGGTATGTGTCATCCCTGTTGACCCATCTGCTGAGGGGTTGTCCCAAAGACATTGAACCACCTCAAGACGACCTTCCATCCAATACTTTTATTCAGTGACAGAAAGCATTTGTGTTATCCGACTGCACAGTAGAATGTTAAATGGAAAAAAGAATACTCTGAGGATAGGGACCTGTCGCAGGACTGTTTCTATCTGAACTTCACATCAAAATAAGAAAAAAGAGGGGGCAGCTAGGTGGCGAAGTGGATAGAGCACTGACCCTGGAGTCAGGAGGACCTGAGTTCAAATTTGACCTCAGACACTTACTAGCTGTGTGACCCTGGGCAAGTCCCCAATTGCCTCACCTAAAAAAAAGAAGAAAGATAATAATAAAAGCTCATATTTACACAGGACTCTGTAAGCTTTACATCTGTAATTTCATCTGATCTTTTTTAGCATCCTAAGAGCTAGTATTATTCCTATTTTTTCAGGCCTAGGCACGCACAGCTAACAGGTTTTCAGTTTCCTTGGCTGGAGAATAGGGACAATAATGTACCACCTCCTTTGTATGGTTTTTGGTTATTATAATCCAATACTTATGCAAATACTGGGACATGTAAAGTGACATTCATCCTTATCATTGTCTGTTAACATCTTATTTCAGATTAGTTTATCAGATCACCCAGTTCTCCAACTGAGCTCTGAGGAAATGGGGCACAAAGTGGGTACTTGGAAGAATGTGAAAGACCTGGACCATGCATCGCTGTTGGGCATACTGAAGAGTCCTGCAAGAGCTGTCAAAGATTGGGACTCAGAAACCAGGACCTAGGATGATGTATGGGGAGGTTGCTGAAAGAGAGGAAGGTTGGGGAAAGAGGGCTGGAGGAAGTGGTAAGACAACCTTTGCTCACATGTCAATTTGCCTAGGGCCAACTGTAGGCCAGAAGCAGGTGTACTATGGGAAAGAGGCATTCTAAGGCCTCTGCTTTATCTGTGGTAACTGTCCCCCAGCTGGGGAATGAATCCATCCTCTCTAATCATAGCACAAATCTCCCCAGCGGCCAACCACCAGTGTTGATTTTAGATAAACACCAACCACTTTCTCTTAATGGAAAGGAAATGTTTATACAAGAATCTGCCCTAGTCACAGGTCCCATCAAATCTGTGGTGAGGTGGTTAGGCAGCCAGAGAGAGGAAATACCAGCAAAGAGCTTACTTACCTTCCCAGGCTGCGATAAGGAAAGGATTGAGAAGCTGCCTGGCTCTTACTACAATTTTCTTTCAAGGCGATACTTTATAAAAAATACCCAACTTCTCCCTCAATGTAATTTCTGAGGCTGGGCTAGATTTGAGTTGAGAAATACAGCTGAATCTTACTGATTCAGACCATTTGAGAGGCAGATCAGTGAGGATGAATGGAAAGTCTAAATTATTGCATATTCTTTCAAGAAATGAAGCTTCATTACTTAAGTATTTTTGTTGCTATTCTGAACTGACAAAGACCAAATAAAATACACTTTTCCATAAGCAAAGTGGAACAAAGAGGATTATATATGAATCTGTGAATCTCTTTTAAATTGAACTTGCTTTTATTTTAAAGTCTATGTAATAACTTCAACATAAAAACTTTCAAAGTTCTCTTGCTGGTGTTTCCTTCTTGTTTTCTTTCTCTCACTTAAAATAATACTTTAATGACTCTCTTTTATTTGTGCTAACCTAACATAAACCTCTTTCTCTTTCCCACCTACCTATTCTCTGCCCTTGACCCAAAGGAAAACAAACCCTTGTAACAAGTGTGCATAGCCAAGCAAAACAAACTCGCCCGTTGCAAAGTCCAAAAATGTGAACTTCATTCTGCACAGTGAATCCATCAGTCACTTTCTCTGTCAGCAGGGGATTAATGAGCTTCTTCCTCAGTCCTCTGGGCTTGTGATTGGTCACTGAACTGATCAGAATTCTTAAGTATTTCAAGGCTGGTTTTTTTTTTTAACAGTGTTGTTACAGTGTGCATTTTTGGAGTTTTGCTCAACTCAGGTGGCATTGGTTCATGTAAGTCTTCTTGGATTTCACTGAAACCAATCCTTTTGTCATTTTTTAATATCCATTTCTATGCCACGGCTTGTCTAGCTGTCCCTAGGTCTTTGCTCTAACAAAAGGAACTTCATTTCTTTTAAGTCTGGATAATAACCAGAAGGTGGTTGGTTAACAACCTGTTTGCAAGTCTGTCAAGGGCATAGCTCTTCTATTCCATTTCGTGTGTGTGTGTGTGTGTGTGTGTGTGTGTGTGTGTGTGTATGTGTGTCTCCCTTAGAGCCTGGCACAGGGCCCTACACAGAGTTAATGTTCAATAAATCTTTGGTGACTTATAAGACACTTATAAATACTTGTTGACTTAACTTCTTAATTCGTGCCCAATAGAAGTCCTTAGAAACTAATAGGTGAGACTGATTTGTAGTCTCTGGGTTAGCTAAACACCAGCCCCTGGAGCAATGGATCTGGGTGTGGATTCTTCCTTTGGGTGGTGAAGAATGCACCAAGTCTCTTACAGAGTCTCTGGATCCTTGCTAGTTGAGGGGGTTGGTCTGGGTGTGTGTGATTCTCTAACGTGGAAATCTCTTCCTATTAGAAAGGGCAGGGTCTGCGAGTTCACATTTGTCCTATCTCAGACACTACCTCAGTGTCTTTGTCTTGTACAGGGACTGTATCTGTACACTGTATGGTTATATAGGTCTCTCTGAAGGTCTCAGTGTCCTCTAGCACTGCTGCTGTCTCTCTTTTTAATCCCAAGAGACAGCTCAGCTGTATATAATTCATCCACCCTAAAGAGTTAACCTGGTGCTATTGCAACCTGGGAGCTGTAAGCATGGCTCAATAATAGAACAAAGGCCGCATTATGGTGAAATGAAGACTGGACAAGAAAACTTTACAACTTGACAGGAAACAGTCAAGAAAGGAGGGACGTGCGCACAATAGTGATTAAATTGTTTGTGTATAAATGAGGCAATGAGATCCATAGTCATAAAAAGAGATCACTTCAACAATCCACACAGGAGAAAGATTGTCTCAGCTGTGACATGCAAGCAGACAGGCAACCTACTGAGTTGTTAGTTTTTTCCTTGATTGACATTCCCTATGGACAATAAGCTAGGCTCAGAATAGAATATGATGAAGAGATCATGTTGAATCACATTTAGAAAACTATGATTTGATTTTAAAAATCCCCGACTGATCCCTGCTGCCAAAGCTCATCTTTTAAAAACCAGTATTCTCCCAAGGAGGTTGTGAATTATGGAATACTAGGATCTCTCAAAGAATGAAAATTGTCTGGGGCAAGAAACTGATGACATTAGGGGCACAAGCAATGTTTTCATCATTGCTGCCCATCAAAGGCAAGGGATTCAGAAGAGAACAGATGGTCATTATGCCAACAAGCATTGATTAAGCACCTACAATGTGCCAGGCACAGTGCTATGCATTGGGGTTAGGATGTAAAGAAAGGCAAAGACCTGGTTCCTGCTCTTGAGGAGCTCACATTCTAATGGAAGAGACAACATGCAAATAACCATGTAAATATGAGATACATACAATATAAATGGAAGTTAGTCTCAGAGGGAAGGCACTAGAAGCTGAGTGGGAAAGGACCAAGAAAGGCTTCTTCTAGAAGGCGAACTTTGAGCCAGGGAAGCTGGGAGTGGGAGATAAGGGAGAATGAAGGACACTCAGTGAAAATGCATGGAGTCAGGAGATGAGTGCCGTTTTCAAAGAACAGCAAGTTTACCTCCTGTAATTCTACCCATCCCATGTTTAGTCCGTCCTCATGCTATTTTATGGGAAATAGTAAGCTCCTCCCACTCTTCCCTCATTTCTTCACCCCCTTTTCTTCTCTTAAAACCAACAAAACAGAGCAGCCTCATTCCCCAATGCACCATTTGTATTGTTTATCTCCTGTGATCCTTGGAGATATCAGGATTTTTAAAGGACACAGTTTCTTCTCCTCAGTTAGCATGCAATCTGTTTAGCCTCTTCCAATAGTTCAGAGGCATTTACTTCAAAGGAGATTTTTTTTTTAAGGCAATTGGGGTTAAGTAACTTGCCCAGGGTCACACAGCTAGTAAGTGTCAAGTATTTGGTCTGAGACCAGATTTAAACTCAGGTCCTCCTGACTTCGGGGCCGGTGTTCTATCCACTGTGCTACCTAGCTGTGCCCTGCAAATGAGATATTTTTAGAGTGCTTAATACAGTGCCTGGAAATGTAGGAGGTACTTAATAAATGCTTATTTCCTCCCCTTTCCCCCCTTCACCTTCTAGGTTTCTCTTTCCTGCAGCATTTGCATTTCAAAATATCTGATCAGCTTTTACCTTTTCACCAGGAATGCTTGAAACTCTTGTATTCTATAAAAGCCCATTTCCTCTGTATAGGGTGATACTCAGTGGTTTGTTTTTAAGGTAAATTACTCTTGGTTGTAAGCCTTTATCTTTAGCCCTTTGGAACATTGTATTCCAAATTTTTCTTTCAAGTAGCTGCTAGTAAGTCTTGTGTGATCCTGACTGGTTCCTTTGTCCTTGAACTAATTTTTTTTCCTGGCTGCTTGCAATATTTTTTTTCCCGACTTGTGTAACATGTGTGTTGTGCTTCGCATAAGCCCATTCAATATATTAAGTGTGTGGGGTGGCCACCCATGCACCTCATACCTCTCTCATGAGTGTGTGACCACCTACTCACCTTCTAGGATGGCTCACTACCACCTGCCTTTACACTAGCTGGTCTAAGTTTATGGATAGGAACTATCATCACAAGGTTATAATACAACTCTCTTGAAGTCTTGGAGATAATCCTGTTGTGGAGGAATATACTTCTCCTACTCACTGTTTTAGCTCTTGGGCTTCCACTTACATAAAACAAGCCACTCACAATGATGACACATTTAGATTGTGTGTGTGTGTGTGGTAATTGGGGTTAAGTGACTTACCCAGGGTCACACAGCTAATAAGTGTCAAGTCTTTGGTCTGAGGCTAGATTTGAACTCAGGTCCTCCTGACTCCAGGGCTGTTGCACCACCTAACTGCCCCAATGCATTTAATTCTTAAACATAACCATTTGCTTAGCAATAAGGCAAAAGAAGTAACGATAACATCACAGGTATTCAAATATTAAAATAAATACAGAAATAATAAATACATCACAATTAACATGATTTAGGTCACATTCTTCTATCATTGCACTAAGTATCTGTTGGGAAAAGTGGACACACTCAGAACCTGCTAAGGAGTCACATGAAGAAAACCCATATGTTCAAGGTAACTCACAAATCTGAAGCTATAGACAGCTTTTTCCTTCTTCCTAGGAGCAGTCCCTAACAGTCTCTTGGTAAATGTAGTTTCTGTATTGAACAGATGCTTCCACTGATAAGCTGAGTTGATCCACGTTGTCTTTGACAAATACATAACTAGTCCATCCATGGAGCGAATTCTCTATTTTTCTGTTTCTAAGCTATTTCTTTGCTCAGCTGGATTTACTCCTGCCAGCACCATGTAGCAATGTTATGCTTCTGTTATGCCCCTGACAGAGGTTCCAGGGGGATGTTGGAAATCATGCTGGTCCTAGGTCTCCTGCACAGCACACCCCCGGTCCAGGCACTGAGTGTGTCTTGTTTCCTCTCTCCTACTGTGGATTCCAGTGCTCCAGGGAGTGCCAGGCTGTGCCTCCCTGCACAGTGACCTATGGGAGATGGTTTTCTGTCTGACCAAGACCAAGTCTGGGATCTGGCTTCTGGCACTGGATTATTAGAATTGGCCCTGATTGTGGTGGCCTTGTTCAGAGGGCTGGCTGGCTTCGCGTCCATTTGTAGAGTTCTTATTGGCTCCCCTCCCTTCCACTAGTTTTGTGGTGTGGGTACCAAAGTTTGTGTTAATTTCCTCGGCACCATTGTTTTGGCACCACTGGCACCATTGTCTTGCCTCTAGTGGCTTTTTTTTTTATGCATTTACTTAAGCTGGCATTCCTGGTTTGACCCCTGGAGCAGACTTCATTGTGTTTTGGCAGGCTGCCTGTGCAGTTATGGACTGGATGAAGTGATTTATTTGTTTCTTTCTGATTTTTGGTCTTTCTGGGTCTGTTTTCAGATATTTTTTAAGTTTTAGAGAATTTAAGTTTTTTAAGTTTTAGAGAATTGAGTTTCTTTACAACTTTTAATGTCACCAAAAGCATAGCTAATAGTTTTTGGATTTGTCTTAATTTGTCTTAATGATAATTTCATCCCTCAACAGGTGAAGGAATTAACAAAGGATAATACTCTTCTGGATCTGATTCTCATCAACAAGGCATTGTTTGCTTGTTGTTTGCTGGAATGGAAGTGATGGGATCTTTGTAGGGAAGTGACTTCTTTGCTTGAGAGTTTGTGATTAAAGAGAAGAGAGTCAGAGTTTGACATATACCCTTTATTTTTTTTTCAGTCTTTTTTTTATCAATTTATTTTGATTTATCAACAATCACTTCCATATGCTTTTGAGTTGAAAATTTTTCTCCCTCTTCCTCCCCCCCACCTTCTCCAAGACGGCACACAATCTGATACAGGCTTTACATTTACATACCCATTAAACATATTTTCACATTAGTGAAGTTGTAAGTAAAAATTAAA